CATTTATAAATCTTGTTTAATAGTTTAACAGTGTAGTTATAGTTATAGTTATAGTTATTAATCCTTTGAAGATGTGTGTTTGTTTGTTTTTTTTCTCCATAAGTTATTCGATTGTATTTCAAGTGAATAATTTACTCTTTGGGCAATGAATTTGTGCATTGTGTCTTTTTCTGTTTTATCTGTGTGTTTGTTTTTTGTTCTTGTCTTTGGAGAAGATAATGGATCCATTACTGCCCGTGCTGTGCCTTCTGGACACCAGTGTGCCCAAAGACAGGCAGCAGTGTGTCCTCCAGGCAAGCAAGGAGGCCAAGGCCTACAAGGCTACGAGCACACACTGTCCAGACCCAAAAACAGCTTACAAAGAAGGTAATAGAGCATGTGTTCCAATCCTGTTTCCTACTGTCCACACATTGTAACCAAGCTTTTGTTCCCCCTTACTCATCTTCAGCTCAACAGAAATGTCAGCTGGTCACAGCTTCCCCCACTGAGGCACAGATCCTGGGTCAGCTTGTCATCACATTTGGCAAATATTCGGGCAAGAATTTCAAATGGCTGGTGGAAAATGATGTTGGGTACCTCAAATAGTAAGTATGGTACACTAAATGTAATCAGCATGTGCACGGGGCTGTTTTTGGATTAATAATGGTAATGACTATGTAACGTTACTCGTTAATTTCAGTCTCCTCGACCGGCACATCAAAGAGACGCGGCGCCCAGACAGGAAAGGGGTCAACGAGGAATGGCTGAAGGAGCAGCTGTTAAAATATGTGGAGCTCTTTCCTGCTGTGTCCTGCCACCTGGAGATCAACGTGGACAGGGCCATCTACGGACAGGGACGCTTCAAGTCGTTCACCTTCCAGGAGATGTGGCTCTGGTACAATTTACACAAGAGTCTCCAGGCAGATCCTCAAGCAGGCAGTGACCACGAGAGGAAGAGGGCTCAGGAGGCTTACGTGTCAGTTAAACAGTGGCTCGCCATGAAGGAGGACGACATAATCACCAAGTCCATGAAAAGGTTCTGGAAATACATACTGGACAAAGAGGTTCGTATGCAGGTGAAAGTGTTTATTCAGTAATAACACAGTAACAAATGTAATAATCAGAACTGAAACATATGTATATATTCCAACTACCCCAGCAGGATGAAGCCACCATCAGCAGCATCTGCCTCTGCCAGCAAAGACCCTCCATCAACTCCTGCTTCATCTTCCTCCACCAGCAAGGCCGGTCCATCTGCCTCTACCACCACAAAGCCCACGACTGTGAAAACGGCCTCTTCAAAGGCACCTTCCTCCTCCGCCTGTCCGTCAGCCACTGCCAGCTCAGCAGAGTCCAGTATTTGGGGAGATGACGCTCTGCTCATGGAAGCTCTTTCTGCATATGAAACACAAGGTACATTAGTTTATATTCATACGTTTATTGGGATATTTTCATAAATGATAAATTGCATTATTATGCAGTAATCTACAGACACATAAAGGCAATTATTTTACATTACTCATCACAAATTTAATCTCCAAAAAATAAATAAATAATTTCATAAGGGAGTAAGGAGAGGCCAACGCTTATCTGCCACCACCCCCTTTTACAATCCCATTAAAGCAATAATGTGCTTCTGCCAGACTCTTATAGTACGTCACATTACCCCAGACACAAAATAAATATGTTATAGTTTACATTCAGATGACAAATAAACTTAAATTCCTTTTTCTGCATAGTGCAAGTTTGAACATGTTTGAAGTGATAAGTAGCTGGTTGGTGTGCTCATAAAACGTTATGAATTATTTGTAGTGCTCTTTTCTGTAATATGAATAGTGGTTCCAATCTTGTTTTATAATTATTACCCCAGATTTCAGCACTCTATATCAAATATGGTGCAACTAAAGGACGATATGTAGAGCTTTGTCGTCCAGAACATATTTGACCTTCCTTACCTGATACTGCTGTGTTTAATAATTATACATAATAAATAGTTTCACACAAGTTACATTAGTTTTATGGCACATACACCCAGAGCTGACAGATAACAGACACACAGAAACACCAGCTACAAAATGAAGTCTCACGTGACAGTGTGTATATGACCAAAGTGTTCTGGTGTTTACAGCAGGTCAGTCACTGGAGCCTCCTGGTGATGAACAGGTGACCAGTGAAGGACTTGAGGGCACTGCAAGTGCTGTGGCAGAGGAGGCCTCACAGCCTGAGGTAATACATGAATTTGTTATGCATGAACATTATTCAAAGCCTGCACACCTTATGGTTTGATTACATAAAGTTTATTTGTTTGTCTGTTATTACAAGATCATACTTGAAGGGTGGCACAAAGCCTGGGAAGCAGAAAAAACAGGCTGCCCAAGCAGGATGTCAAGTGGCTGAAGGAGGATGAAGAGAGGGGCCTCTTTCAGAAGCCCGTGTCCTTTCTGGACAAGTACGGCAGGACAAAGTGGAGGAATGTCCTGAAGGACAAAAGTTGCCTGGTGTGGTGGGAGGCACAGTCCACTCAGCAGACAACTTCTTTCTGCACCGGCTCTTCTTCTGGCGACCAGTTGGTGTGTGGCGTTACAGTGTCTGCTGCACTAAACCTGACTGCCCTGCCAAGGACAATAAGAAGGCTTTCCTGTACCGCTGTGGCTACTCGCACGCCATCAGGCCCATCTGTGACATGAATGGCTGGTACTTCATGCTGACAGAGGTCCTGGCCTGCAATGCCTGCCGGAAAGCTGCGAAGGAGTCTAACGGGCATTCCATAGGCCGCTACCTGTCATGGGAGACGAACATATTGAACCAGCTGACTCCCGCTCACAGAGCTGTATTTCCTGCTGTGTTAACTCTGCGGTAAGTCTCTGCCTGATCCACATTACATTCATTTAAATTATTGGACTTAAAAGAAAATATATAATAAATACATATCTAATAAAGACAAAATTGTTCTGTTTGTTTTGTTTTTGTTTAATTCAGCCGTGGTGTGGACAAGAGCATCATCCGTCTGTTGACAGAGGGCAACACTATGAACAAGGTGTGGAGGTAAGTCCAGGAGAGCCACTGTGAGGAGTACCTGCAGAGAAAAGACCTCTACACCACCCTCCTTAGCCAGTACAACCAGCCTAGGAAGGTCACAAGTACGTTAGGTTTCATCTTCATCTATAAAACTGTAAATACTCTATAAATACACAAGATACATTATATGCTTTTATCACTGCAGTCCCCACTGTATCTATTATATGCTTATAAGCAGAAAAAAATGTCAGTTTTGATGAAGATTCTCATTCACCCAGGTCATGACTAGACAACTAAACTCTTTGGATAATGCCAGTTTAAAAAAAATAAATAAAAAATCTCTCTGTCTCCCCTTCTACTTTCAGGAATGCTGAGCAGCCAATTTCAGAAGCCTCCAAAAAGGAGAAATCTGCTTCAACCCCAACTGATGAGAAAAGCCTACCTCTTGTCTGAGGTAGACAACATTGAGGACTACAGCACTCAGATCATGTCTGTCTTTGGGAAGGTCCTTAAATATGACTCTACCAAGAAGGTGAATATCTAAAAGTGCTCATCCACTGTTCACAACCATAACAAAGTGCACATAATAATAATAATAATAATAATAATAATAATAATAATAATAATAATAATAATAATAATATGCATATACATATACATATTGAAATATATACATATTTAAATCCTCCTTGTTTTTTTTGTTTTGTTTCATTAGATATGCAAGAAACTGTCAGGTGAAGGCAAGGGTACAGCAGAGTGGTGCACGAATGTGGCGAATGAAAAGGGACAAATATTGATATCTGTGTTGACCTGTGAAGAGTCCCTGGAGAAAATCAAACCAATGGCTGACGGGCTCACAGAGAAGCACAGGAGAGCAGGAGAGACGGCTCCTGAGCTCATGTACGTGGACCGTGGCTGTTGTCGCCGACTGGGTGTGACGTCCTTGGAGCAGTGCTTTAGTGAGTGGACAGATGCCGGTATGATGATTCGTCTGGACATTTTCCACTGGATCCACCAATTTGACAGGGCCATTAGGACGGATCACCACCCCAAGTACAAACTGTTCAAGTCGGCTCTCTCCGCTGCTGTCTTCGCATACAATCAGGACGACATGGCACGTCTGCTGAGGGCCATCTGTGCAGGGCATCCGACCAAATACAACAACCTGAGTGACAGTGAACTGATTGAAATGCATGTCACCAAAAGAGAGCTCACTCATTATGTCAGGAGGGTGACGGTCGGTGCCCAGGAGACCTACGCACGGGTGCAGCGTGCCATTGAGATCTTGAAGGAAGCAGCGGGGATGGACGAGAACCAGGTCCACCTCTTCAAGGACAACGCGGCCATCGATGACACCTGGGCGAACCAGCAGAAGCACCTGGAGTGCATTCAAGATCCACCGGGCCGTAACATGTACACCACTGTGAAGTATGTTAGCCGTAATGGTGTAGAGCTTCCATACTACACCACTGTGAGAGGGAGCAACAGTCTGGAGGGCTTCCACTCCTTTTTGCCCAATATGATCCCAGGCCCCCACTGTGCTGCTGTGCCCTTCCAAGTGTACCTGCTGGCGGGTATCACTCGGTGGAACTTGGACGGGGACTCGGCGAGCATTAAAGGGCAAAAAGGGAGGAGGCACATGGTGTACATGTCTCCCCTGGTGGATCGCCTCAACCAGCGGTGTCAGGAGTTGTTTGGGGAGGTGGAGGAGAAGAACTTCAGGCGTCCGGTTCCTGCTGGCGATGAGCTTATTGGGTTGGAGTACCTCTTCGCTCACCACACCATCACCCCGGGTACGAGCATGTGGAGGAACTCAGCAGGTCCTGGTTGAGATCGGCCTGGAGGAGGGGAAGCTAGCCATCAGCGACCGCACCAGGCAGAGGGTGATCGCTGCTTGGAACAAGCTGGAACTTCACGACCGCAGTATTCAGCAGTTCGACAGCCTCTATTCCTCACGCTGGGGCAACGCTCTCTTTGGCCGTACCTGTGGAGATCCAGCAGAGATGGCACTGGTACAGAAGCTCAAGTTCAGCAAACGGTATTCAGCTGCCCACCTGCTGGACTCCCGAAAGAACCGCTTAATGTACTGTGTAATCAAGCAGCTCTGGCTCCATCCAGACTGTGGGTGTAAGGCTCGAGGGTCACCGCTGAAGCATTCAATCACCAAGATCTATCAGCAGATGCAGCAGAGGGTGACAGTGGATGACCTGGTGTTGAGCAAGTTGGGGATATCCATCCTCAAAATTAACTCTAAATCCATCTCAGAGTTTATGAGGAGACAAGCGGCCCTGTCTGCCACTAATGTTACAGATCCGGGTCTGGGTATCCTCCGTCGACATCAGAGCATCTCCTCCACCAGCCAAGCCCCTGCACCAGGGCTGCCTGATGAACTTCCACACACCAGCAGGCCTCAGGTCCACTGTGACATCGCTCCATCTTTGGCAGGGAAAAGGATGCTGAAGACAAGAGTGGTCCGGAAGTGGGTCCGAAAGCCAAAACCCCAGCCACCACCAGCCCCACCACTTCTGTCCTCATCCCCACTGCTGCTGCCACCGCCACCGCTTTTCCCAGCCGCCAGCACAGCTCCAGGACCCCCACCTACAGGGCGGCCCACTCAGGTGACTCCAGCCAGGTCCACCATCTATGAAAGGAGGAGGTCACTGCTTTCTGGGAGCAGTGTTAGAGACCCAATAGTGTACCTGTGTGCACTCTGTGGCCACCCCACCCAAGGCCACAAAAAGTACCTCAAAAAAACGTACTGTGAGCTTTCAAAGAGTTCTACATCGAAGGGGCTCTCTGGAAGGACTTTTGAGTCATTTACAGACTTTCAGAAGCAGTAGACAAACTCCATGGGGGTGGGACTTACAGTAACAGTTGCCTCTGATTAACAGACTACATAAATATGTAAATATTTCCTTTTAATGTTATTGTTCACTTTTGCTATCATAGTGTTCTCATATTGCATTATTACAACTGTGTTGCTGCTTACTTATGTGAGTATTTTACTATTTTCCACAGGTTATGTATGTATATATATATATATATATATATATATATATATATATATATATATATATATATATATATATATATATATATATATATATATATATATATATATATATATAATGTTAAAATTGCCCTTGTGTTCGAAGTGGCAGGAAGCTGGTAAACTTCTGTAAGGCACTTGACTTCCCCTTGTGTGTTACATCGTATCTTTTGCACATACTCCATGGCACTTCTGTCTGTCCACTGCACCTGGTCACAGACTTGCGCTCTCTCTCTCTCTCTCTCTCTCTCTCTCTCTCTCTCTCTCTCTCTCTCTCTCTCTCTCTCTCTCTCTCTCTCTCTCTCTCTCTCTCTCTCTCTCTCTCTCTCTCACTCACACAACTGATTGCCATTGTGTTTTCTTGCTTTAAAAATGAAACATTTCTGTGCCTCTGAGTGTCAGACTATGCAAATGAAAGTACATAAATACTGTTTAGTGTTCTATGTTTAATGATTCAATGTTCCTTTAATGTTATTGCTCACTTTTGAGCACTGTTTCACATGTAACATTGTGTTTTCATGGTGCATTATTACAACTCTTGCTGCTTACTTATGTCAGTATTTAAATGTTAACTTAAATTAAATTTTCACCTTAAATGCTCAGTATACGTTTCTTTGCTTTGTTTACTACATCATCATGCACTTTAGACAGTAACAGTGTGTTGTGTCATTTCTTAATCAGTCAATACATGCAATATTCTCATTTCATTTTCCAGTAGACCATTTTTCAACATCAAACAACATTTAAACAGAATATGAATGAACACCTATCATAAAGACAACCACCCACTAACCATTCAGCATTTATAATATTAAACACATAATGAAAACACAACATTATAGTAATACAAGTTTTATTGACTTCAAATAGACAATGTTGCAGAGGCTGAAGCGTGTCATTTCACTCATAAAAATGCCTCCTCCACCATGTAGCCCTCACACAAGTGGGTCCAACCTATGGAAAAGCAAAAAAGAAAAGTTTAGAGGTTGTGTTTACATTCACACGTTTCTAAAAAAAACAAAAAAAAAAAAAAAAAAAAAAAACAAACACTACAATAATAGTCTTTTTCTTTCTCAAATGAATTGATCAAGAGAAAGCAATGCAAAAAATAAAACACAATCCATAGTCCAGCACCTCAATAATGTAAAAAACTATCACTTTATCATAAAACTATGAACAATCTTAGTTTGTGTATGATTCCCATTATTCACCCTGTCAAAACACCTGGAGGGTCATGCCACGTGACCTGGCTCAACCCTCCTATGAACATGCATTGATTGACATAACACAAGCCCAATGGTGCACCTTCTTTGTCCTACAGTCTAAAGTCATTTTTGCACTCTGTACGACTCCAGGCCCCTTATGGGGAGACTGATCCCAGCGGTGAGGAACAGCAGGGAGGCTCGGTTATTGCTTGTTCACAAAAAGCAGCTTCACAGACCTGTGTTAGGACTAATCAAACACATTTAAATTATAGGGATGTAATAATAACCGAGATATTGTGATATCATATCGTCGAAAGTCTCACAATAATAGCGTGGGCCAATACAAGTCTCTCTGCTTAAATTATTAGTTATAGTGCAGCAATATAGCTAAAAACACAGTACTTTGCTCCTTTTCAGTGCAGACTATTAGTACATGAAGAAATAACTGCTATACGCATTTTTAAATCTAAATTTGGATTATGACAAAACCAAAGTCTTGTCAAGGCATTTTAAAATGAAAATGCATCATATTCAAAACTGTTAGCCTCTACAAAATATTATAATAAATATCGAACCATGGACTGTGTATCGTGAAAGTCTAAGTATCAGTTCGGATGGTCCTTGTCTGTGGCCGTGACGTTTTATAGTCAAATCTGTGTGACGTATTTGTACTTTTTATTTTACTTAGGAGTACTTCAGCACTTACTTGAGTAGATTTTTTTATGTGTTTTACTTCTACCGTTGCATAGAGACGTGTCATGTGAACCCCTTCGTTAGTTATACTTGCAGGACACAGGCATATAACTGTCTCCGTCTCCGCACCAGTGTCCATCATTAGTGGTTAATCGCTTGGTGTGCGCATTCGCTCCAAGAAGTTAAGCCACAGATTAGGTGGAGTCACGCAGCTCCTCCAGCACAGGACGAGGAGCAGACATCACCACTCCTCCTTCCCTGGGTCACCTCTCCTCCACTCTCCTGTCCACCCAGCACCGGCAGCATGTCCACGGGAGAGAGAACCCCGTCTACTACCTCTGTGGAATCGGCCGCAGCAGCAGATAGGTGAATAAAACAAAGATGGGGGGAGGAGGTGGTGGTTGGAGGGGTCAGTGGTGCAGATTGGCAGGTTCACTTCCGTCAGTCTGTCCCAGGGCAGCAGTGGCTACAGTAGCATCTCTAATCTAATCTCTGTCTAATGCATGGGATGTTAAAGTGACTTTGAGTGTCTAGAAAAGAACTGACTAATGGGTCCGGTCAAGCAGTAACGGAGGGAAATAGGGGCAGATTTTTGACATTCAAATGTCTCTTATTCAGAAACTAGAGGGACTATTGAAATAAGTAAAGTATCAGAATGTAGGAAAGAGTTACACTCCAACAGGGTCAAGTTAAACCTGTGATATTCTTTCAAGTTGTTGACAAAATTTTAAAAACTCATGTGGGTAATGGAGGGAATGAAATCTGCAGCACTTTTTGGGCAATAAATCCAAACAGTGATAACTAGTGGTTCTCACTTACATATCCTTAACAAACTGGTTTGAATATTTGCTTCATACAGTTTTCTACCATATGGTACAAGATTAGGTTGAAAAACCTCTTACTTTTTGAGTCATGAGATTTTTTATTAAGAAAGGTCATGGTAACGGAGGGAAAAGTAACGGAGGGAAAATTGTACGAACAAGTAGAAGGTGCAGGATTTTACATCATTTGTCAACTTTTTTCTTCTGAATACTTTAATATTACTTCAAAATGAAAGGAAACTATTTCTATAAAATATGTCAGTCCTTCCAAGCAAATTTTTATCATTTTAAATTAATTTTTTTTGAAAAATCATGTACCTTCATCAACAGTTCAAAGATGGAATATCACAAGATATGATGAAATACATCCATTTATTTACATGATTTGCAGGTCTTTGAAATTTGGGAAATAATTTTTGTTCCATGTTTCATACATGGTCTGTTTAAAACGTATGGAACTTTAGAACCAAAAATGGTACAGAAAAAAGGTCAACAGTTTCATAAACTAGAGTTCATATGCTATCTGTATTGAATTTTTGGCCTTGCTGTTTACTTCTGCTTGACCGGGCCCCAATGCATTATTATTAGTAGTAAAAGTTCATGTTGACCCATGCTTCTAGACTAAGAGCCTGTTTACATGAGAACACCTGCAGGTAAAAACGACAAAATATGTTTATTTTGTTTAGACGGTGACGGTGTTTTGGGGGCTTAAAATGCTAAAATCTGAAACCATCCTCCAGAGTGGAAAAGTTGAACTTGCTCCGCCATCAGTGTTGGGGAGTAACAGATTACATGTACTGGAGTTACGTAATCAGAGTACAAATTATGAGTAACTGTATTCAGTTACTGTTTCAGTGAGTGGTAATTGGATTACAGTTACTTCATTGAAATAAGTGGATTATACTGCGGTATTTTCTTGTTTTTACATTTTGGGCTATCAAGTAATCTAAAGTATTCAGATTACGTTACTCACTTTAAGTACCTTAATGGATTCCGTTACAAACTACATTTTGTGGTATGTAATCTGTAATCTGTAGGGGAATACATTTTAAATGTAACCTTCCCAACACTGTCCGCCGTAGTGTTTTTGTCTACACTGCCCAAGACACAAAACTCTGGTCAGATCTGCTCATGTCCCGTACGCGTTTGTCACATACATCACCACCTAGGGTCCCCACCTAGCCGCCTGGCATGCATACCCAAACAAATTCCACACACTTTTGCGTCACCATATGCACGCATCACCTCGTGATGCCACTTTTGCGTTTCTGCTCAGACCACCACCATAAACGTAGCCTGAGTGGGCTGTGTGAGAGAGAGAATATTATTACCATCTTTTTATTAGTTTATTTCATTCATTTTATCAAGTAGAAAAACGACAGTAACAGTGTCATGACGTTAAACATACAAGAAATGGAAAAAAAAAAAAGGAGCAGAAATAAAAGTCATCTTATTTTGTCTGCCCCCTCTTCCTTTTTCCAGACACTATAATAACGCTGATGGTTACTTTAAAACAGTGGTGCTCAATACGTCGATCCCGATCTACCAGTCGATCGCCAAGGTCGTGTGGGTAGATCGCCGTGTCTCGTCTCGGACTCGCGTTTGGACTCGGTCTTGTCTCTCACTCGAGGTCTGACACTCAACAAGTCTGATCATATTTCATTACGGCCGCTGCTGTTGGTAATAAACTTGTAGCGGGTGCAGGAGCGTGTGGGGCGTCTCAGTGCAGCCTGTGTGCTCATTTGAAACCCGCGGAGACTCTACGGCACATCACAAACACACACACTCCCTATGCACGGCTCGTCTGCAACAGCGTGTGCCCTCGTGTACCAGCGTGCATCACAGGGCAGGTTCAACTTCCTAAACATCCTACCTGTCCACCTGCCTCACGTCAGCACGCCGCCCCTCGCCTTTTCACGCTCTCGCTCCTTCCTGCGTACAGCGAACACAAGACCCTCCCACAGTGCGGCTGATTAGAAGAACAAGACCAAACGTGAAGCAAAAAACAGTCTAAATTTTTGTTCCAGTGTTGGCACAAAGCAGGTCTACAGCATAGAGCGGATCTACAGAACAGACCTACTGCCACATTTGGCTGAAGTTTGTCTAACAAAAGTGCACAAATGCATCTGTGTTTGTCACGATGTGTGTTTGGTTTGGTAAATGTGCAGAGGCTGGTAAATATCACTGCAAAACCAGAAAAGAATGTAACTCCAGTTTGGAACTTTAAAAAACAGGTTTAAAAATCTTCCTTCAGTTTTTCACAGTTTTGTGTAAAGTGCCAGAGGAAGTTCTCTTAAAGAAGGGGTTCTCAAACTGTGGGGGAGGGTCCAAAAATGGGGCACAGAGTGTTTCAGTGCAGTTTGTTTGGTTTTGTATTAGGTACATCATCATTTGAAGTCACGTGGCACTTGGTCATTTTGTAAGTAGCTCACATGCTGAAAAAGTGTGAACACCCCTGCTTTAAAACATTTAAAATCAATATTTTATTTCATTTCAATCACAAATCTTCATGCAAACAGAAATCTTCACTTTTATGCACAACATCTTAGTTTTCTTTTTCACACTCCCGGATTGCACTGGATTGTATGTATGTTTTAAATGCCAGTTTTGTACTGGATCCTTTGATTTCTTTGTCAAGACTTTTCCATAAATTAACTCCTTTCACAGTTATGCTTCGCTCCATAATATTGCTTCCGAATCAGTTTTTTTTTTTTTTTTTACATGTTTGTTCCTTAAACTGTAGTGGCCAATGTATCAAATATATGAGTTTGGAACACTTTAAGTTATACAAATAATGAGTTTGATGTGTCTTTATAATGATTGTTGGTGATGATTCTCAAGGCCCTTTTGTGTAAAATAGATGATGGCTGTAGATAAGTTTTACATGTTAAATGTACACTACCAGTCAAATGTTTTAGAACACCCTAATTTTTCCAGTTATTTATTGCAATTCAAGTCGTGCAAGTCCAATGAAGAGCTTGAACTGGTACAAAGGTAAATACTGAACATCCAGAGGTTTCAAAAAAAGATAAAAGATACAAAACACAAGTCCAGGCTCTGTCAAAACTACCTCAGGAAAAAAGATCAAGATGGTAAAGCTTGAAAACATGGAGTGTCCAGCAGCAGCACAGTGTCCAGACTTAAACCCTGTCGAGCTGGTTTGGGATGAACTGGACAGAAGAGTGAAGCAACCTACAAGTGCCACACATTTATGGAACTTCTGCAACAGACTTGGGAAGAACTTTCTGAACAATATTTGATTTGTATTGTAAAAAGAACGAGCCACGAGTGTGTTCAACTGTTACATCTTCCAAAGGTGGACACTTTCATCAATCAAAATTTTAGAATAAGTTTTGATCAACACTAAACAGTAAAAAAAAAAAAAAGGATAAAGTGTGGTGTTCTAAAACTTATTGACCGGTAGTGTATATGTAGACAGACACAGGCTTGTCAGAAGTATTGAAAATCTGATACTAACCGATACAACAATTAGTATGAAATGACTGAAACTATTCTCATTTGAACAAGTGCTGATACTAAAGCACACTAAAGCTCTTTAGTTTTATCACATCTAGTGTACCACATGGTTACACAGAGAAAATAGTAGTATTTTGTCTGACAGTTTAATGTCTTGAGAAAAAATGTTTTTACTATCATCACATTACAGTATCAAAATTGATATAGAGTAGTGGAGACACTGCTATGCTAAACACTGCAGAAAATGACCAATATTTTAATAGAAAATATAATTAAAATATTTTAGTAGAAAATCAGCCGAGGGTCAGATTAAAGGTCTTGGAGGGCCCGGGCCGTATGCTTGACACCTGTGCCCTAGAACGTTCACACCCTAGAACATTAGCACAAAATGAATGAGACCTAACACAGCCTCTATGTTTGTTTCTCTTTACAACTTGTAGCAACGCTGGGACCCCCAAAGACTCACCGGCCGGCTCAGTCTCAGAGACGCCCAAGAAGAGGAAGAAGAAGTCCAAGAAGAACACGGAGAACATGACCAAAGTCTACATGTCTGTGCTCAACAGCGTCTTCGGAGCCGTGAGTCACACATGTTAACACCACCTGTAGACAGATGTTTAAAGTAGTGCTGTTGTGTCCCTGAGCAAGACACACCCAGACAGACGTGACAGAACTAAGTGTTGATGGGCTATGATGATTTAAAAGTATCTTGAAAATGCACTTTTACTGTAAGTAGGTCACCTCTGCACAGATATGACATGTCATTTGTCCTCGCGTTACCTGCTTGGCCCCTATCTTCTGTCACGTTTACATTTTATTTACAAACACGTCATTTCCGTGCCTTAAATTGATCTGGTAGCAGTTCCGTTGTTGTTGTCGTCAGGAGAGCAGAGCTAATCCCAGCTCCCACAGCAGCAAACAGGCTTACTGCCACTCTGCATTACACTTATCCATGTCAACACCGACGGCAGACTTTACTAGACCGTTGTAAACTTTCATTCATTGCATTACATTACGTTATAATTGACTCCACTAACCCCCAGTTGTTGTTTTTTTGTTTTTGTTTTTTCATCTCACAATTATCAAAAGAAACAAATGTAATTAATTTATTTTGACAAAGAAGATGTTGAACTTTGTGACATCTGACACACAGGGATGCAGGAGGAGGGGAGGGCATCTGACACACAGGGATATTTATCAATACTTGATGAAAATATTTTGTGCTCTTACAGGAGAGGGAACTGGCTCAGGCAGAGCTCGATGGTAAGACAATCTTCAGTTTAGTCCTGCTTGAGTTCTAGGGTGCATTCACAATTTCATATAGACCACATCAAAACCAGGACTAAACTGGTGGTGCTAAACCCGAAACTAAACCTGGACCAGACCAGGACTAAACCAGGATTAGAACAGGACTATGTTACCAGGATCAAACGTGTGAATGCACTGTAGTTAAACCAAGTTTTGTTTTGTTTTTGTTTTGTTTTGTTTTTTCATTTAGCCCTTGCTTAGACCTCATTTTGACCTATGTTTATTTTTTGGTTTAGCCTTGGTTTACATATGGACCAGTCCTGGTTAAGATCTGGTTTAGACCTGGTTTACTTGTGGTTCGGGCAGCCCTCATTTAGACCTCATTTGGACCAGGATTAGCCTTCTTCTGTAATCATGATTTGTCCTGGTTTCGCCTGGGTTTTGACACAGTTTAGACCTCGTTTAGATCTGGTTTTAAAACAGTAAACCTGGTTTAGTTGTGGTTTTGCCCTGGTTTTGAGACAGTTTAGTCCTGGTTTTCAGCCTTTGTTAAAATGAAGGTCAGCCCTGGTTTAGACCTGGTTTGAACATGGATCTTTCTTCTCATATCTGGACCTCCATAGTGTTTAGTGAGTTAACCCCAGCCTGTCCTCTCCTTTTCCCCAGAGCTGCAGCAGGCCTTCAAAGAGTTTGACTATGACCAGGATGGATACCTGAACTACAAGGACGTGGCTGAGTGCATGAGGACTATGGGATATATGCCCACAGAGATGGAGCTGCTGGAAATTGTCCAGCAGATCAAGATGAGAAGTCAGTGCCTTTTTTTAAAAGAAAAAAACGTTTTAAATCCCAATAATGATATGTGTCCCAACATAGGAGGTAAACATGGTCACATCAAATATAACTTTTACTGAGAACAACTGCAGTGTACATGTCGTCTGTCATTTGGGTGCCGGTTCCAGGCTGAATGGAACACTCCCTAAAGCCCAGCACCTGCAGCCAGTTATGAATCAGTGCTCGGGCAGTTCCTGCTTCTTTGTTTCTCTAGCTGTAGTTTAAAGTTCTGGTCACCTAGTTTCAGTAGCACAGGCAGTTACTTTAAAAAATACTCCTGTGTGTTTTTTTGCTGCAGAGAAGTCAGCACAGATTTTGGACAGATTTTATGGATCATTGGGCAATTGGCACCATACTGGTCCTATCCAGTCACTAACTTTATTCGTCTATGCTCAAAATTACCTAAAACAGATTTCTTTGGTAGTTTACATTTGTTTACATTAGCAACTAGAACCAAGTGGCAAAAAATACAATTTCAATGGATTCAGAATATTAGTCATTGTTTGAGTAGTTCACTAAGAGATTTAGATTGTTTGTACTTACTTATATCAAATGCACGTCTTAATATTGTTTTGGCCTCTAAATCCAGCATCAAGTTAAGAATATTCCCTTTCTAGTCATATTCATGTAGTTCCTCCCTGTGTATATGTGTGGGCAGTGGGGGGCCTGATGGACTTTGAGGACTTTGTGGAGCTGATGGGGCCCAGGATGATGGGGGAGACAGCGGACATGCTGGGTCTGAAGGAGCTCCAGTCTGCTTTTGTACAGGTCAGACTAACACACATACAGACATATTTAAAGATGGCTGACTGGAAAAAAAAAATATCCATCTCAAATTTGGAACATTTTTTCTTTAATATAAATAAATTCTTTCTTTGCAACATTTGTCCAGCCCAGTACTGTTCCTCTCCAGTAGCACACAAGGATATGGAAAAGCATCTGACATAAATCCCATCTACTGTTTTCTAGTTTGACTTGGATGGAGATGGAAACATAAACCAGGATGAGATGAAGGAGGCGGTGAAGAGCCTGCTGGGAGAGAAGCTGAAGAAGGGCGAGCTGGAGGAGATCCTCAAGGAGCTGGATGTCAACGCTGATGGCAACATCGACTTTGAAGGTCAGACCACCAAAAGATTAGAACACAATAAAGCTGCACTGTGTCACTTTTGCCTGTCACATGTCTCCATGGAAATGTTATTCCACTGAATGAAATATTCCACACTGTAGACCTATTTTATTTGATTTAGTATGGTTATTTATGTTCGAGACATACTACAGACACCAGGAGGTCAACTTACAGGTCAGATCTGTGGAGAGGATCCTGCACACACTAAGAATGTTTTTTCACTGAGTGTGTGTACCTGCACATCAGTGTTCCACTTCTGATTGGGTTTTTTGGATATAGCCCAAAATGTGAAAACAAGAAAATCCCGCCGTGTAATCCATTTATTTCAACAAAGTAACTGTAATCCAATTACCACTCACTGAAACAGTAACTGTAACTGAATGCAGTTACTCATAATTTGTACTCTGATTACATAATTCCGGTACATGTAATCTGTTACTCCCCAACACTGAAGATGGATAAGGTGTAATGCCATACTGTGGAACATTCAGGAAACACATTAACATCACTATGGAGATAAGCAGGTGGCAGTTACTTAGTGTCTGTTTTAATAGGAATAACTGAATGTACTGCTTTTGTAACTATTGTCTGTGTACTGACATGAACTTGTGTGTGTTTGCAGAGTTTGTCATGATGCTCTCCATTCGCTAAAGACTAACAGCTAATGGCTAACTGCTAATGGTTAACAACTGGACAACATGAACACCACAGCTCACCTCAGGAAGCAGCAGAGTGGATGTAGACAAAAGTCTAGTACATTTACAGACTGTATGTGCCTAAGTGTAATACCTGTGTGAAGTCAATGTGACAGATAACTGACTAAAACAATACACTTTGGTATTATATTCATGTAAACACAAGAGAAACCATAGAAACCATAAGAATAAACTTTATATTTTAATAAACACTAACAGTAAACAAAGAATAAACATATTTTAATAAGAAACTGCCTGTTATTGTTTGTCATGTTTACTGGGGACAGTGAAAGGCACAGAACCTACGGACCGTTCAACTGTAGCAATTCATTTTCTGTTAGACTTGAATACTCGCTGTCACTCAGTATCCATCCAATCACATAGTGAAGTTTGCTGATGACACAGCAGTGGTGGGGCTCATCAGCAGCAGCGATGAGTCCAAGTACAAGTACAGATGGGAGGTCTCTCAGCTGGAGGTCTGGTGCAAAACAATCTGTGCATCATTGTAAAGAAAACAAAGGAGATGGTTGTGGATTTTCGCAGGAAACCCAGTGGCCCTTCTCTATACCTCAGTGGAGATGCAGTGAGGACTGTCTCCTACTTCAGATACCTGGGAGTCCAAATCATGAGTAATCTCACCTGGTCTAACAAGACCAGTTGCATATGAATGAAAGCACATCAATGCCTCTACTGACAGGTGTGGAGAGTATATTCACTTCTAACATGACTGTGTGGTTCAGCAGCAGCACAACGGCAGAGAGGAAAGATATTTTGCCCTGCATTGACGACATTTACATCAACAGGTGCAGAACAAAAGCCCACAGCATCATGGAAGACTCCACCATCCAGAACATGGACTTTTTACAGCTCTCCCATCAGGCAGAAGACTGCGCCACCTACAGGCCAGGACCAGACTAAAGAACAATTTTTACCCTGATGCCGTGAGACAGATCAATTCTGTCAGAAAGCCCAGACACTAAAGCACCTTACAAAACAGCACTGACTTGGAAAGGACTTTAGAAAATGGGGGCAAGTGTGGGCTGTTTTTAAAGACTGTATTTGATATTACATATTTTAAACAATTTACAACAATACAACAATTTCTTATTATTATTTGTGCTGCTGTTGACCTGGACCTGAGTGCAGTGTTTCCTTTCTGTGTATTTTTATAATGAAATGACAAATAAATTCTGATTCTGGAACGAAAAAGTGAAAAAAGTTTGGACACTTTTTTTACACTCTTGACATTCCATTAAAGAACTAGGACAAGGTACACGTATAAACCCATAAAGTAAAAACCATTTCAGGAGACTTCATCATAAAGGTCACTGAAAGAAGATCAAGTGTTTGCAGTGCTGTCGATAAAGCAGAGGGTGGAGACTTTGAGAATTTCAGTATAAAATATAAAACAGGTGTTAACAATTTTTCAGTATATATTGTGTTATATATTTGGTTTCTTTTGCATGCATAAGATTTTAGATTTTTTTGTAAGTGGACAAATTTGTCTTCCTGTGTCCTGTTGTGCTCCATGATGAAAAACAATCTACTACACCCAAAATCACACACAAAGTCAGATTAAAATGAAATGAACACCTTTTAATATGACAAAGAAAGCAGTCACAAAGTAATGGTTTCAATAGCGTTTATTTAAAAAGAACATAATACCTCAAGTTAAATAAAATAGAATAAAGTTAGTTGGTTAGCTCAATCTGTAATAAATACTATCTTCTGAACAGCAGGAGCCAATCACAGGGCAGCATGTGAAGCCAGGCTTGTAAACTCATGTGTAGTGGTTTATTAGAGCTGAGATTCACTTATCCCACATTGGTCACACTGCATGCACACACAGATCTGAGAATGTTTGAACATATTTGTATATTTTATCATATTAAAGTCCCTGTACCGGATTTTTCCCATCAACTTGAGCAAAATGTGTCTTGCCCCTGTACACATATAATATATTGTATAAGCACCTCTTGAGGTCAAAATAAGTCTGCTGTATACCGTCTCTATCTAATAATAAAGCGTTTAATTGTCTGTTAATCAGCAAGTGCACATTAGCATGTTAGTTGTTGTTCGCTTTACAGTCTGTGTGAAAAGCGCTTATCACTGTCAGTAATTAGGATGCTTTGAATAACTTTGGACCACTGTAAACTGTTTAAATGAACTAGCTCTTTTTTCACATTTTTTAAGGCAGTAAAAATCAGGTACAGGGCTTTTCAGTTTATTTTAAAGCTTATTTCATCTGCAGTCAAGATTCACAGCACAACATTCTCCCAATTAAATCATAACAAAGTATTGGAAAAAGCTCCCGTGTATAAAACCATCCTAAATATTAGGCGCTCATAGAAACATGTCAAATGCACTTATGTAGTCCTTCACTCGCCCGACCTGCACGTTTTCATTGAGAATATGAAGCAAATAATAGTCTCAATTATTAAGTATTTTTGAGTGGGAAAAAAGTTCACTTTGAACAGTCTTTTTAAACATGTTTGGCTGTCTGTGTACATATACTTTGTTGTTGGTTTTTAATGCAAACATTTGCTTGTCTCCATGGAGATGTTGTTGCCTAGAATGTTCCACAGTATTTGACTAGCAAATCCACAATGACACTCTCAGTATTTTTTAAATATGTTCGTCCAATCAGATTTGTTTTCCTCAGTGACGCATGTGAAAGACAGCAGCTCATTGATCACCGAAAATGTACTTCTCTCACCTCAGACTAACAGAGTTTAGACTCTTTGATTCTGCAGAAATTCACCATGTTTTTCAGTCTCCTGTGATATTTTTTCCCTTTAATTTTTCCTCACAAGCAGCCATGTTTGATGTGATAAAGGTAAAAGACCATGTGTGTCTCTGATTGGCTAATCCACCTGTCACCAATGTTCACTGTGACCACATTCACATACATGAAGTATTGAAGAAGTGTGTGTTGGATGGTTTCCAGGCAAACACAGTATGGTATTCAGTGTTGGGGAGTAACAGATTACATGTATCGGAGTTACATAATCAGAGTACAAATTATGAGTAACTGTATTCAGTTACAGTTACTGTTTTAGTGAGTGGTAATTGGATTACAGTTACTTTGTTGAAATAAATGGATTACAGGGTGGTATTTTCCTGTTTTCACATTTTGGGCTAAACCAGGACTAAACCAGGTCTAAACCAGGTCTAAACCAGGTCTAACCCAGGACTAAACCAGGATTAAACCAGGACTAAACCAGGACTAAACCAAGTCTAACCCAGGACTAAACAGGGACTAAACCAGGGCCAATTTGAAGAGGACAAAGAAAACTAAGAATTTTCAGGATGTGGGTATTAAATGTATGTAGTTTTAAAAAGCATGACAATATCAAGTAATCCAAAGTATTCAGATTACGTTACTCACTTTAAGTAATTTAATGGATTACATTACAAACTAGATTTTGGGGTATGTAATCTGTAATCTGTAGGGGAATACTTTTTAAAAGTAACCTTCCCAACACTGATGGCATTACACTCATAAACTTCTCTATCTCCATGGAGACAAGCAGGTCTCACCACCAGACCAAGTTACAGGCCAGATCTGTGGAGAGGTGACTGCACTCACAGTAAGAATGTATGTTTTCAATGTATTTTTGAACTATAAACCACCTGTAATTGAATAAATGCAAGATGGGAATTAAAGCGTACTGTGGAACATTCCAGGCTTAGCAACAGCATTAACAATTTAACATATATTATTACAGTGTTTCTTGCACCGCTCTTTCAGATATGATTTAGTTACATCAGATGTTTAAATGTTTTGTTCATCTATTTAAGGTTAAGGTACACTTTCTTGACCCCCTCCTTGTGGGGGCTAGTGTCTTGAGCTAGTCTTGGTCAGGACCACCTTAGCTGGAGGATTTGACCTATTGTGGAGAGCCTGAAGGAAACCCACCCAAACACAGGAAGAAGATGCAAACTCCACACAGAAAGAGCCTGGCGACCTGGGAATCAAACCGGGAACCTTCTTGCTGTGAGGTGGGAGCTAACCACATCTTCAAATTATAAATCAGACATTACATCCAGACAGTTACTTTTACTTGAGTAGTTGTGTCCCCAAATACACTACCAGTCAAAGTTTGGACACATGCTCTTTTTTTCTTTATGTTTATGACTTTTTACATTTTATACAAAGAAGACATCAAATATATGATGTAAGATATATGGAATTATATAAGAACTCTCAACTTCTCATTGAAAACTTCTCTCATTGAGCTTCATGATGAAGTCTCCTGAAATGGTTTCACTTCACAGATGTGCCACGTCAGTCAAGAAATGCCAAAAATGCAAAGCAGGCTTCAAAGCAAAAGGTAAAGACTATGTTTAAAAAAATTAAAACAAGCTGAGTAATTCTGAGCGTATTTTTGTTTGCTACATTTCACATGTGTCATTCATAGTTTTGATGTCATCATTGAGAATATACAATGTAAATAATCATGGAAATAAAGAGGAAATATACATGGAAAAGTGTGTCCAAACTTTTGAGTGGTTGTGTATATTTTCACTCTTTGGTATTTCTATGACCAATACTTGTTCCTACTATTATTCTGAAGTAACATTACTCTTACTTGAATAACTGCTTTGCTACCTCTGTCTAAGAGTTCAGAAGTCCATCTCCTACATTTCACTGCTGATCTCATCAGTGAAGTCGGCCATGATGTCGTGCACCCACACGTCCCTGTCCTCCTGAGACGTGTCCACCAGGTACACTGTGAGCCTGCGCTCCCAGGGCTCTGAGGCCTCCTGCACAGCCTCCAGTTGAGCCACCAGAGCCTTCTTCTCCACGTGGTTCCTGAACACCATGGACGCCTCCTCAGACCACTGCTTCTGCTTCACCCCTGAGAGGAGGGACATAGGAAGACAGCGTTACCCTGACAACCTGGGGACAACTCTAAATAATCAAAAGTACAGCCTCCCAGAACAGTAGATTGAGTGGGATTGCTGAGGTTGGAGGTGTGAATAGAAAGTGCCTTGTCTGCTCAATAGCAAGTCCATTTATTTTCATCCACCCTACCATTTCAGAAGTGTCTGATAGTGTAACCACATCATTGGAGAGGGTTGTTGGGTGGTTTCTGGGAGGGTTGTGTAAGTGGGTTGTTAGGCTGTGGTTTGTCAGGTGGGTGCGTCTCCGTGCTCTGACCTGCCAGCTGTGCGGTGAGGGCTTGAAAGGGCAGACGTCTGAAGTCCCGCACAAGAGGCCGAAGCTGTGTGCTGCTGACCAGCTCATGTCTACCATAGTCCAGCTCATAAACGGACACCAGGCCAGTGGTTAGCACGCCCTTCACCAGCACACGGTACCAGCTGAAACAGCACATGTTTCATATGATCACTATCTCAACCCTAATATTATCATTGTCACTTTTTTTAATAGTGTACTTGGAGCTAATCAATCTGTTTTGACCTAGATCACAGTGACCTTTGACCTTGATCACAGTGAAGAGTGAAGTCTCAGCACATGGCCCCAGTTGCCTCAAATACAATCAGTAATGTACATGAATCATAATCAGATATAAATCCTGATCTCTAAGAAAATCAGGATATTTCCTTTTTGCCACAGGCCTACCGCCCTCCCCTTTGCTGAGGTCTCCATACAACACCTCTCAAACTAAACATGACTACGATGAAAGTATAAGGTGTCCGTACTTGTTGTCCACTTTGGCGGCATACACGTGTCCCTTGTGCACTCTGAGCTGCTGGGGTTCAGGTTGGGGCTGGTTCTCGGTCTGGTTCTCGATCTGGTTTTCGGTCCTGTTGTAGTAGAGGATCATCTCTCCCATGAGCACCACCAGCTTGTACATGTCTCTCCAGGGCTGCAGCACAAAGTGTCCAGGGTGACAGGCCACAGACACGTACACGTCCAGGTTCTGTCCTGAAATAGGGAAATCAAAAATATAAAACAATCTGTTTTGAGATTATAAGCACTTGCACAAATACTTTAAATGATAGCACATCTGGTTTCACTTGTGTTCAGCTATTACAGATATTTAATATTTTGATTTTTTTAATCCATAAACAAGCCCTAACTGTCACATCATTGTCTTTATTATCAAAATATCCATTCAGAAAGCAGAATGAGCCTCACATGAGTTTTTCCATTTCAGCTGTCAGTCTCAATACTGAAATCTAGTTGGTTTAAACCTAAAATGGCTCTCTCTGATCTGAATAGTCACTACCTAAACCCCAGCACCTGCACCAATTATGAATCAGTGCTAGTGCAGCCTCTGCAGCTCAGGGAGGGAATTCTGGAGGTTCTGAGCTTTCACATGTGTCTGTCCATACACTGAGAATGAGACAAACTTGGATGTGTTTCTATCTGCAGGTGAAGACTCTGGCAACACAGCTTCAATTGTGATGGTAGTATTTTTTAAAAGGCTTTGAAAAGGGCCCGGGAGAGATTGCAAGAGTTCTCAAACATGCATGGATGACATTTAAGACCACTCCGCCATCCCTGGTTAAGAAAATATTTGTAATAGTACAGACAGAATGGTGACTGTTGTTTTACCTGTAGGGGGCAGCTCAACCAGCGGGGGCAGTTCTACCAGCGGGGGCAGCGGACAGTCAGCTGTATCAGGAGGGGAGGGTGTGTCTTTGGGAGCAGACTTTCTGAGCCGGGCCTTCTCTGGAGCGGACGGGGCTGCAGTAGTACCGTTGGTGGATTCCGGGGGGCTGGGGGTCTTTGGCGAGGGGGTGGACATCTTGTTTGAGCTGTGAGGGTAGAGCAACACTGGGTTATAAACAGAAAGGTTTGATTACACCTTTGTTTTGCACTAAAATACAGCTATCATCATTATATTTAAGATTTGAATAAATATCTTTACTACTCTAATGTAGTTTTATAAATCTTATTTTGGTCAAGTTTATTTTATTTGACTTCCCAGTTGGACATGTACAGCAGATGTGACATGCGTAAAGGATACTACTAAAACTGTAACCTAGCAACCATGTAATGCAATATAAACAAGGGCCAAAACGTACGCTGTAAAGAGTGAAAAAGTATTTGGAAAAACTACTACTAATGTAACAGTAAGTTAGTAAGAGTAAATGGTTACACTCAGGACATAATATCTGATTTATAATTTGAAGTTAATGTAATGTGAAGGACAAAATATTAAATAAGTCACAAAATAAGGATGAACACAAAAATGACACAAACTAAATCAGATCTGCAAGAGCACTGCAAGAAACACAAATGTTCAAATCATTTCATATTATCAACAGAAAATCTTTTGTTACTTGTAGACTTATTCACCATGGGAGGAACTAAAACTTTTAAGCAGGAGTAAAAGTATGTACAACTTCTTAAAAAAAAGTTTCTGAACAAAATGTAACAAACTGAGTACTACCTTCCTCTGTTCACAACTTCCAGTTTTTTGTACTTTTTTCCACATACTGCCACTTAACTGAAGTGAAGCTATGATAAATAGTCCCCACAGGTATTATCCCACCAAACCAAGTTAGAATTAAAAAAACAAAACAAAACATGAAAACCTGTCATCTGCAGTTTTGGTTCATACTGTAAAGTGCAATTGTCTGGGGCCGGTATGCTGTTGAAACATCTTGACCTTGTATCGTTTGTCAAAAGCAGAGAGACAGACCTATGACTGGTCAGGATCACATCTGGCTGCTGTCTGAAGAGTTGGGAGTGCACCATCTGGTGGTTGAGGCTGCGTGTTGCATCGTGGAAGTTCTTGTCGGTGAACAGGTGGATATGGACACAGGCCTTGGTTTCATCCACTTTGGCCACCTGAAAAGGTTAAAGGCCAGGTTAAATAATTTGAGTCAGAATTTGGCAGTGTCCTTTGATAACAATCATGATAGTATGATAATGATCATCTCTTTGGGGTTGAATACTGGCACCACTTTCTGAAGACATTGTGAAAAAAATATTTATTTAAACGGTCTGAGAAGTTTGCTGTTATTGAGTGAGTTTATATGTGCATGAGTATCCTGGTTATGAGCCTTATCCTGGTTATGACAGTATTCTGGATATGGCGTTTACATGTGCTCAGAAAAAACAGAATACTCTGTGTACACGGGGAATCAGAGTATCCTGGATATTTAGACTGGTTGCTATGGTAAATATGGTACAAATATGAGGAGGAGCTAAACATGTAGCAACTTTGCTAACTTAAGGCTTTTTAACAGGTTCAAGTAAGAACATGAGACTGTGGAGCTCTGTCCCAACTTTAGTAAAAGGCGTTTTCAACAATTGAAAAATACAACACAGTATCACAGAGTTGGTTTGGTTCGAGAGCAGCACAAACCACATAGGTGGTTGTATTACACAGTAGACTGCTTTATTTAGTTTTTAAGTATAAAATATTATTACTTAAAAAGTCCTGTTAGGAGTTTGAGTCGTTTTGGAAAAGTACCTGCTCTTACCGTTGTTGTTACTTGAGTTTGAACATGCTCCGTACAGCTCCAGTTTTGAGAAATCAAGATACTGCAGTTACAGGCCACAGTATACTGGATACTATCAGAAAAACACAGTAAGTGTATCCTGGTTTCTCATAACCGGGATACTGGCTCATCCAGGAGACTGAAATCAGGATCCTGCATCTGCAGACACTCACATAACCAGGATACTCCAAAAACCCAATGATAACCGGAATATTCAAGCACATGTATATGCATGTACTGTATACGCACTCAAAGTAAATGAGGTAAATGTAACAGCAGCTAGCATGCTAACATATACCTTTTGATCATCAGAAAATAAAATGCTTTATATTAGATGATGTACTGCAGTAGTACACAGCAGACTTATTCTGACCTCAATTATATGCTTAGACATTATGTCTGTGCCATGGAAAGACATATTTTACTCAGATACATGGGAAAAATCAGATAGAGGGTCTTTAAACAGCAAACTCCACCATCTTCTAGCTCAGTTTTAAACGAGAGGAATCCATTGAGACACAAAGAGGAGATCTGACACAGGGTCATTTCAGAACATGTTTGTACCTTGATGCTACAGTCAGTGAGGTGCAGCACTCTCTCTCGGAGCCACTGCACGACCTCGGGAGTCCAGGAGCCCAGACTGACCACGATATCGGCCAGACAGCACTTCACAGCCTGAGCACACGCAACACAGAATAATCTTATATTCAGTATGGAAAATACACAAACTTCATTGTATAATAATAATCTGAGTTATGTTTCAGTGTTGGCAGACAAAATACGACTATAAGTAACATTCTGTTGATTTACAATGACAATACAACTTTTTTGTGATTCTGACTGATTATTAATTCTGATTAAAAATAAGGTTAAAGTATGCATAGAATGTAATTTATTTTTCTATATGTAAATATTTGTAAAGTTTCATGATCAATGTACATAAGCAACCACATCATTTTAGAAACTATGTAATGAATAGGGCTGAGTTAATATACATTTTTCTTCTTCCCACTCCTTTTTGAGAAATGTGCTTTTCTGTTGTTTATAATGTATATGTAGTATGTACTGTAGATGATTATTGTTTTTCTTCTAGCACAAACTCAAATAAAAACAAATAAATCAATAACTTCTTAGTTTTGTCACTTCTCTGTATTTCTCTTTACATCGGTGCATTTCATCTATGTTTAATGTTATGTTTAAAAAAATGAAAATAAAAAAACTCCTTGGGAACACTTTTGACTTCTGATATAGTGGTAGTAGTTTATATCGTACAGAAATCATCAATATTATGTAGAGTCCTTGTGTAGTACCTGAGCGGGGATGGAGAGCAGGTCGTGGAGGAAAGCCTGAGGGATCTCTCTGAGCTCAAACACCTCCACTGAAGCCTGCACCCCCACATCTACAAACTGAAGGTCCAACACCCGGGAGCCGTGCAGGTTTGTGATCTGTAAACAGTCAACATGTACTATCTACTATCTACAAACATCTGCTTGGCCATTTTTACTCTGAAAATACAGTACAACTGAACCTGTTAAGCAAACATAAGTAATAAATAAACGAACAAATAAATTATGGGACTTGTACATTTAGTGCTCTTGTTACCAGCCCCGCCCTCTTCCATTGCTCCCTGATTAAGATTTCTCATGTTGAGTACTAGTCCTTAAGAAAAAGTATTGCTCTAAACCAGGGGTTTTTAACCTTTTTGACACTGAGGCCCAATTTTTCCAGTGCAGAGTGGCCCAGAGCCCATTAAATAATAACTGTATATCAGGGGTATTCAACTAAAATTTGAGGAGGTCCGGTTAGAGAAAATCTCCTCAAGCAGAGGTCCAGTACATCATAATGTCTAACTTGTGTTATGACTGTGATACAGAAGCAGCCTCGTTTTATCAGTGTCTCAAAACATGAATCACAAGACATTACTATTAACGAGTGTCTCAAATATTTCACCAATGTTTCTAAATATTGTATTTTCATATTTTTTGAAATAATAATTATATAAAATAATTTCCAACTTCATGCAGGCCTAATTGAGGCTACTTTTAACCTCACTGAACATCAGTAGGACAGAGGACTAAACCAGGTGTAAACCAGGTGTAAACCAGGACTAAACCAGGTGTAAACCAGGTGTAAACCAGGACTAAACCAGGTCTAAACCAGGACTAAACCGGGACTAAACCATACAGAGGTCTGTGCAGGACACAATTCCTGCTTCTGCCTGCGCCCGCAATGTGCTTTCAAAATGTGTCCCATGCCGCACTGTTTTGCATCGGGACCTGCTGGAGGCCCGCAGGAGAGCAGTGCTCTATCCCAAGACCACAGAGCAGGGTGTTTGCAAAGCGTGATCGCCGGGCAAAGGTAACACTTAGCTCCGTGAGGCATGGAGCTCTGTGAAGCGTGGAGCTCTGCGCCAATCCTTTCACCTGTGGTCACCTGACAGTCTGCGGGTGCACCTCCAGGCCTGTCCCCCAACACTCAGTTCTGGTTCAGTCCTATTTCACTCCTGGTTCAGTCCTGTTTTAGTCCACATGTGTCGCGCCTCCCTAGTGGCTCTTTGGTGCCTCCCTAGGGAGGCCCGCCTCACTTATTGAAAACCGCTACACTATAATAATCTATACTATAATTATATATTATTCATCTGAACAGGTTAACTTTTCACAATACAAGTTCTTCAAATAATCATGATTTCAATTATGACAGAATAAATGCTTAACTCCAAAGTTATTCTAACATTTAACATCTCTTTTGTTAATAGCTATGGCAATGGTGCAAATTTATACCACTCTGAAACATGAACATGAACAACTCTACATAAGTTCATTTTGCCCACACAGTCCTATAGCACACATGTCCTGTGTGTGAAGTGTGTTCTTACCTCCACTCGGGCCCACTTGCCTTTGTATCGGGCCAGACAGGCTTTCCCACAGAAGGGCAGAGACACCAGGTGCTCAGAGCTCACCTGGAACACACAACATCTCAGTCACAACAGGACTGTCACTTGGGCTACAACCAACTGTTATCTGACTAATCTTTGGAAAGCAAAAGGGCAGTGAATATGATTACATTTGATGAAGTTGTTTGAGGGGATCCTGAGTGTAGCCTGTGCTCTTACTATTTTTATTTAAGTTATTACAATTGTTAATTAACTATCCGTAGGTTGCCAGAACCTTAACCTGCAGATAGACATATCCAAGTTTGTCTCATTCTGTTTCTCAGTACATGGATAGAACATGCCTCATGTGAAGCTCAGGAACTCCAGAATCCCTCCCTGCGCTGCAGAGGCTGCACTAACACTGATTTAGCATTGGTACAGGTCCTGGGGTTTAGGGAGTGATCATTCAGATCAGAGGGAGAAATTTTAGGTTTAAACCAACTGGATTTCAGCATTGCAACTGGCAACTGAAATGACAGACTGATGGATAAATGCCATGAGAACCAAAACATCAAATTATAACATTAAAACAACTTGTCCATCATGTCCAGTGTTTTTGTAAGTAAGAATAAATCAGCATTAGAATAGTCATCAGTAAAAGCTACATTTGATTTAAACATGTTTACCTCATATCTGGGGACACAGATATGTCAAGTTTATTATATTTAAAATCAAACTCTTACATATAGTTCATTTAAATGATTGCTAAATTGTAATTAACTGATTAACTTGTTGCCGCTCTAGGTGTCATGGTAACCAACATCTGTCACAAACTAGCAGTTTTTCAATGTAAGAATTTTGTGTTTTTATAAATGCTGCAAAAAGATTCATTTGCCTATGTTCAGTGCAATAACGCCCTCTGTTTGTGGACACGAGCCAATGTGGTGGCCTTGAACATTTCCACACTCATCTCAGCAAACCTTTTAAACATTGAGTGTTTCTTACATGTTGTTTTATCATCAACCGTTTTTTGGAGACTGGAGTTTTGTTGATTTAGAACAACTCAACCCCATCCCAGGACTTTTCAGAATGCATTCACAGTACTGCTCCATTGACTCAAACTCAGAACTTCACCTGACTCCTGTGACCGGATTAGGTGGCCGGGTCGTGTCTTATCCTGGATTATCAGACTAATCTCCTGCTGTCCACTACCTGCCCTGAGGAGGCTCCAGCCTGCTCCACATTCATAAAGAATAACTCTACATACTCCTCACCTCCACACACACAACAGCAAACACCTGTCCACACTTGTCTGAGCAGGGCTCAAACCACACAAGTTAACATACGCAGAGGTCAAGTGTCTGGCCCAAGTGCACAACGGCAGTATATTGCTTGCATTAAACGTTGTACATTTTGCTAAATAAACTCTAGTGAGATTTAAGACATGTTGTAATGTTATTACCCCATTAAAAACATACTTGGAGTTGTGTTTTATTTCATTCACACATGTTTGAGTAATCCTTTATTATTGTCAGTCTACATCTCCAAAGCTCAAAATGCTCTGTTCCACCTTGTGATGTCATGAAGTGGCAGTTTTCAAGTTAACGGCTCCTCTTACCTTTAGTTCAGTAGAGACAAGCAATTCCAGCATTGAAATCATCCAAATGATTCTAGTGAAGGTGTGTGGACTTTAAAAACACAGTGGAGCGCTTCCTGTATTGCCACATGACATCACAAAGTGGAAAAGAGTGTTTTCTGTTTGAGAGAAGAACTCAGCCTAAATGTGCAGGGTTTGTGTGTGAATGAAACAAAACAACAAACATTAAAATATAGATCAGAAAACAGTGCAATGTGGACTCTATAAAGAAGACGTATTATGCAGATTATTTTATACTTTGGACATTTAAAATTGAAATATTGATTGAACGCAAACAAATGATGATTAAAAAAAACAAAACTCTTCTAACTTCTGTTTAAAAACTGTGGCGCTGATTTACACCTTTGCATCCCAACAGGTGCCAGAATACGTGAGGTGATACTGTTTGGGGCCACAAAAATTATGTTCATCCCACAGTCACCAACCTTGGCATCATCTGAGACAGTGATTTTTAATTTGACAAACAGATTAACAGTGTTTTAAAATCAAGTTTTTATCATTTGCGGCTTTTATCTAAAGTTAAACCTTTTTTATCTTTTAAACTTTTTGAACAACGCTTTTATTTCATCACGCCTGGACGACTGTAATGCACTTTATTCCGGCATTTCGCAAAACGCACTTTACAGACTACAGTTAGTCCAAAACTCTGCAGCGCGACTTTTAACAGGAACAAAAAGGAGAGAGCACTTTACCCCAATCCTTGCGTCTTTGCACTGGCTTCCTGTTAATTTTAGAATTGATTTTAAGATTTTATTGTTTATTTTTAAAGCTTTGAATGGACTGGCCCCACAGTACGTCTCGGACCTCATCCAAATTTATACCCCTGCGCGCGCTCTGAGGTGTGAGGTCCAGCTCCAGCTCAGGGTGCCTCAGACAAGACTTAAAACCAGGGGGACAGGACCTTCTCTGTGCTCGGCCCTAAACTCTGGTACCATCTGCCGCTTCACATTCGAGCAGCACCCACAGTGGAGAGCTTTAAGTCTCGTCTGAAGACCCACTTTTATTCTCTGGCTTTTAACACCGCGTGAGTTGTGTGGTCCTCTGTGTCTTTTATTTATTTTTATGTGTTTTTATTGGTTTTACTGATTTAATTTATTTATTGGTTTATTTATTTCTAGTCTATGATTTTGTTTTAATTTTATTTTACTGGTTTTATTATTTTAAGACTAGTATTATTTTAGTAGTTTATTTTATCATCTTATTGTTGTTATTTTTATGTATGTGCAGCACTTTGGAAACAGTTTGTTTGTGAAATGTGCTATAGAAATAAAGTGGATTGAATTGGATACGTGTCTGACAACTGTTCTATTGATACAACTCTACAGCTGACATCACCAACATTCCCTGATTCCCCAGATTAGTTAGTCACTCTCTTTTGTCTAAAACAGGGATCTCAGACTCGCGGCCCGGGGGCCAACTGCAGCCCTCGGAAGGATTTTTTGCAGCCCGCCACTTAATTCCAAAAAATAATATCAGTGTGGCCCGCGGTAGATGTACGCACAATCCCACCCCTCTACCTCGGGCCGCACTGACAAATGAAGCTGCAATCGGTGCCCATGCAGATTCACAACAGATTATTAGCGCAGTTTACATCCCAAAACTCAACTTACAGCAGTTGTGAAGCAACGAGTCTAAGTGGATCTGTTAATACGAGTACACGGGTACAAGTGCACATACGGCGTCACCGAAGAACCAAAACAAACCACACATGTGTGCGCACTTCACTTTACGCTCCCGCTACCACAGCGTAATGAAGTTGGCTCAACGTTTGACGTTCGCTTGATATTCGGGGTTTAACTTTCCCACAGTAAGACCCAAAGATGCATTTTGCCTAAATAACTTGAACTAGGTTAAACAAAGTGCAACCTGATAATGTCTTACATAACAAAACAACAGCATAAATAGTACCTATCGATTATAGGCAAAAAATCTACTCAAGCTGCTCCAACCTTCGTTCTGTGGTTACCGTCTATGTTATGGACCGTCAACAAATCGTCACCACATTGTTGGAGGGAGTCACTTTGACATTAGTGGAGCCGGTGTACATAGGGTGCATTTCTGACCTGTAGTAAGTAGACACATTTATTTTGGAACTACTACGCCCCACAGATTTAGAAAAAGTGTTTTGGTTGATTTTTGGTGAATTTTTTCATGTAATTATTGTGTCTCTCTTCACAGTAATGTGACCTAGGGTCCAGTTGTGACCTGTAGTAAATAGACACATTTATTTGGGATCTACTATGCCCCACAGATTTGGAAAAAGTGTTTTGGTTGAGTTTTGGTGAATTTTTTCAAGTATTTTTTGTGTCTCTCTTCACAGTAATGTGACCTATGGGCCAATTGTGACCTGTAGTAAATAAACACATTTATTTGGGATCTACTACGCCCCACAGATTTAGAAAAAGTGTTTTGGTTGATTTTTGGTGAATTTTTTCATGTAATTATTGTGTCTCTCTTCACAGTAATGTGACCTAGGGGCCAATTGTGACCTGTAGTAAATAAACACATTTATTTGGGATCTACTACGCCCCACAGATTTAGAAAAAGTGTTTTGGTTGATTTTTGGTGAATTTTTTCATGTAATTATTGTGTCTCTCTTCACAGTAATGTGACCTAGGGTCCAATTGTGACCTGTAGTAAATAAACACATTTATTTGGCAACTACTACGCCCCACAGATTTGGAAAAAGTGTTTTGGTTCATTTTTGGTGAATTTTTACATGTATTTAATGTGTAACCTTGCTCCAATAATGTAAAGTGACTCCCTCCAATACTGTGGTGACTATTTGTTGACGGTCCCTAACGAATATCAAGCGAACGTCAAACGTTGAGCCAACTTCAATACGCTCACAACCACAGTATCAGAGCGCAGAGGAGGCGCTGACAAAATTCCCCTGTTCATAAGTATGGGACCATTATTGGAGAGGCTAATAAGAAATAAAAAGACACTGACAGTCTGTTTACCTGTTCAACACTCAGTGCGTAACTTGCTGGCAACCCGATGACCAAGCTCCACATATGTGTCGCCGAAATCCACGCGCACTCAGCGGCAAACACAGCTGTCCCATCAATATGCAAGCACCACAAAACTGCACTGATCTATTCCAGAGGCTTGGCGACATGTTAGCAAAAAGTACGAGGCAAAAACAAGCGTCTTCCATCCATGTTTGACATACGAGAAGCAGATACACTCCAGTGTGGTCCGCTTTCATACCAGCAAACGAACCAAAACTGGTCCGATTAACGAGCCTCTGTATCCCGGTAGAACAGTGATATCTCCAGTAACCAATACTGATGTTCCCTGTTAATACCGCGGGCCGTCCTCATCTTATCACCATGAACTCATAAAACAGCAACGTAGAACTTTGTACAAACTCACCGCATCAGCCCAGAGTTCGGGTAACAGCAGAAACCAACAGCGCTCACAGTAGCGCGCAGCTCCTCAGGACGGGGCTGGAGTCTGGTCCTTGGTCTTCTGTCGTCCTACAAGCGCGTTGGTCAGATGGTCCGGAGGCTCTGTCCTCCATGTGCTGGTCCCAGACGGTGGCGAGCAAGACCAGTGCGCAATGACTGGGTCTGAGCGGATACGTTCCGCCGTCTGCGTGCTGGTCCCATGCGGGGAAAGTGAGAATGCGCTGCTGCTCCTGTCCTCCGCGCTCAAGAACCGCGGCTGGTTCCGAGGTGGTGCAAAGCATCCGGACAGAAGCGTGAATCCAGTTTAGTTGGTGTCCGTCCTCCGCGCATTTGGTTCTTCCCAGGGAAAGCGCTTTTCACTCCCCGTTCCACGTCATCTGAGCCCGGACAGAACCGGAGCTGCTCCTGCTGGTTCGGGACTCGGGTTTGGATCTAGTCCGACTGTATTTCTCACACTTGGCTAAAAGCAGGACATTTTTTAAAGGTGAATCAATTGAATGGGCGATTGCCTATTGCCATAAAATTATTTGGTTAATTAAAGCCGAAAATAACAAATGCTGGTTCCTACATGATCACGGGGAACACCGGGACCTCTGTGCAGGTCCTGAACAGACGTACACACCCCCATTTTTGACTCACTCTGGAGCCACACGTTCGCACACTGGTACTTGCTCTGATCTTTGTGTGTTACATTCTCTTTATTGGCCATTGTTGGTAAAATAATTTGAAAATGAATCGCGGCTGCGTCTGGACAACAATCTGTTACTGCGCTGGAGTCGAACAGCGCGTCATTACAGGCAGGAGACGCGTTTCTCCCATGATGCATTTCGAATAGTTCGTTTGGACCTGCTGTCTATGGTTTGGACTCGGGTTCGCGTTCACACCAGAGGTGCGGATTCAAGCGAACCGAGACCACCTCTTTTTTGAGGTCTCGGTCCGCTTGAGTTGGTCCGGGTCAGAGTCCGATTGACGCTTTCACACCAACGCAAACGAACCGAGCTAACCACTTCTGGTTCGAATGGATCGTTTGGTGCGCACCAAATACTGTTGGTGTGAAAGCACCTAATACAGGTCAAGGCTCACTGATGAGCATCTTCAATCTATCCTGAGGATCTCATATGCTTCCTCCTGCAAGCCAAATATCTCTCAGCTGTGCAAGATGAAGCGTAGCCAGGTTTCAACCAGAAAGAAGTAGGCAAAAGAAGAGTAGACGTATTAGTTTAAACTTACGATCTGAATGCATTTTCATATTCTGAACTGTTATTAAAGATTAAGAAAGCGTGTTGCATGTTGTTCTTTCTCTCTCTTTTATTCCCGTGCAACCTCTATTTATCGAATACTCAATGCGGCCCAGCCTCACTCAGACTTTCTCTAATGTGGCCCCCAGGTAATTTGAGTTTCAGACCCCTGGTCTAAAATCAAACTTCTAAACAGGACCATGAAAGCTTGTATTGATCACAGACTCCTGAAAATGTTGTTTTTTTTATCTAGTTTGTATTTTTTCTTGAGTTTTCAGACACTCTTAAAATAGGGTGACCAGATTGTCAAAATCAAAAACTGGGACACTCTAGGTTTGGGGTGGTTAATAAAATTGTGAAACATGTGAGTAATTAAGGAAAATTGTTGTTTCTATTATTGAGAAAACAAACAAAAGATCTACAAAAATCAGCATTTATACAATATTCATTTTAGTGGCCTCCATCTGTATGAAATATGATTGACCTATACAGATGTCATCTATAACACAGCGTTATTGTGATGTCATCTGAAACACAGTGTCTTAAATGCAGAAGAATAAAGATTATGTTATGTGTTATATGTTACGGCACAAATACCCTCTCTTGATAGAATGGAGAGTATGTGGTCACCTGTGATTGGAAGTAGGTTTCAATAGTGTCCAGGATGCCCCGGAGCTTGTGGAGGCCTCTGGAGGGCAGCTGACAGTACAGGGTCCCATCAGAACACACACTGCTCACTGTTACGCCCATGTACACACTGTTCACCTGCAGAGGGAGGTAGAGAGGGAGACAGTCAAACTATGGTAATAACTACTTTGGTATAAAAGTGAAAAAATGCCAAGCACACTCAATTTATTTATTTATTTATTTTTTAAGTTTCGGCAAAAAATCCCTCATCAGGTTTTTTTTTTTTGCTTTGGACCACAGTATACAAAATGGTTGCCAGCTGAAGTGCTCATCTACCCCTCCAACGAAAGCAAGAAAAATGATCTAACGAAGGCTTTTTTGCCCAAACGTTACTTAAAAATTTTAAAAAGCTTTTGAACATCGTCCATCTGAGTGTGCTATGCATTTTTTCACTTTTATATTGTTGTTACAAAAACTTTGGTGTGCTTTTTCTGTTTCATTTGAATAACTACTTTGGTACCTTTCAAGGTCCTAGATTAATAACATGGACTCTTGTAAGGTTTACACCATTATTATAACATTGTTTCCTCATTAAAAGCATATCTGAAGTTTGTTTTGTTTCATTCACACGTTTAAGTAACTTCTCCAAAGCTCAAAAAGCTCTATTCCACTTTGTGATGTAGTGGTAGTTTTGGTCACATTGGTCAAATTTTTTTATATAGTGTATACCATGTAGTGGTAGTTTTCAAATTAATTCCTACCTTTTACCTTTTGTTCACTAGATATTGGCAATTCCAGGGCTGTCCAACTGATTCTAGCATCGCTGTATCTATTTTAAAAACACAGTAGAGCACTTCTTGTGTTATCACATGAGATCACAAGATGGAGTGTTTTCTGTTTAAAAGAAGAACTTAAATCTGCAGGGTTTGTGTGTTAAACATGTGTGAATGAAACAAAACACAACTCCGGGGTTTTGTGTTAGCTAATGAAAAGGGAAGTGGAATGGGGCAGTTATGAGACATTCAGGGGCGTCTAGTAATTTAGCATGAGCACTAATACCTTGCAGCTACACATCCAAACACATGTTTAATATTGTCCTGGCTGTTTCTTACCTCATGCAGTTGAATGCCTCTCCTTGTCTGTGCCTAAAGTAAATCAGACTGCACTAGCTGTATCCTAGTTTGGGTGTGATGTTAACTGTAGGCGCTGCTCTGTCTGAGGCTTTGTTACACTTTATTCTGAGCTTTATTTTAACACAGTCTGACCTAAAGAACTGATTTAGCTGCAAGTACAACAGGTGAGATGATTTGTGGTGTTAAACAAGTGATTCTCAAATAACACTGAATCTAGCTACACTGCAAAAAAAAAAAAAAAAAGGCCAAAATTTAAGATATAAACATTTAAATCTATCAGAAAATGGCTTAAAAGTAGGGAAATTATCTGTCCATGCTGCAAAATAGTTTTACTTGACAAGTTATCTTAAAATAAACTACCTCTAGACTAGAATTAAGCAGTCTCTAAACTAGTAAGTAGATAATAAATCTGAAAAGAAGATGAATAATCTGAGTTTTAGAAAGTTTTAAAATTTTGGCCAAATCTGAGAAATTTGCAATGTAGAATTAGCCAGACGTTTTTCAGTTAGTCACACCTTTTTGTTGAAAATCAAACTCCTGAACAGGGTCATGAATGCTCATATTGATCACAGGCTCCTGAAAATGTGCTGTACAGCTGAATATTCCACCACACACTTACAAGTTGAAGACCTCCAACATGATGTCACTTCAAAGTATCAACAGTAGTTCCTGGGTTCAAGGGTATTTATAACAATCTGGTTTAAATTGGACTAGATCATTTAGCTGGTTTTCTTGGCATGCCTGTAGACAGTGACTGAGCGTGGGTGAGAGCTGGTCACCTGTAGGGGGCTGGCCAGACTACAGTCCTGAAGCGCTCGCAAACAGGCCGAGTTTATGTTGACGTCATCATCCTGAGACGTGTCGTACAGCACCACCAAAGGGCGTTCTCCTCGCTCCAAGATCTCCACCAGCAGTATCTTCCCACTGGCCATGGTCTCCAGAGTCTTCAGCACGGCAGAATCCTTACAGAACTGCTCCAGACCTGGAACATAGAGCTGTGAGGGCTGGTGTCACTCATGTGCACAGGTGGGCAGAACCCTGTTATTTGAGTAATTTTTCTATTAGTATTATTCTAGCAGCATACTTTTACTCCTAATTCAGTAATATCTTTTATTGAAGTAACAGTAACAGTACTCTTATTTGAGTAAAAGTTGTGGTTCCTTTTCCCACAGTTCTCTACAACTGATAAAAGCTTATGAAATGATTTGAACATTTGTGTTAAACATTTTGTGTCTGCCTTTTAAAAATTCCAGATTTTGTGAATTATTTAAAGTTTTCTCATTCAGATTACATTGACTTCAAATTATAAATCAGATGTTATGTCCTGACAGTTACTCTTTAAGTTACTCTTACTTGAGTAGTCATTTTCACAGATACCTTTTTACTCATACAACTACAGATGACTCAGGTGGTCTTGGACCACTACTCTGTATACATCTACTTGAGTAACATTATTTTCAAGTAACAGTACTCTTACTTGAGAACAGTTTGTGGCTTCTCTCCCACCTCTCCTTGTGTGGATATGACAGGTTCACACTCACCTGCCAGTCTGCACTTAGTGGCTTGGAATGGCAACTTGAAAAACTTGTCGTTTAGGTCAAAAACTTTGCTTTTACTGATGACTTCTGTAAAGCCGTGATCCACATAATACACCTGAGACAAAATCAGACAACTGACATAAGAGTGTGCATATTAAAGGGGCCATACCCATTTATGTAGTAATGTAATTTGTTTTTCCCAGATAAAAGCAGCTCTCATGCTCCGTTCAGACTGCAGCTCCAAAAGCTTCAGACAAATTTTGCCTAAAGTTGAGCTGCGCTGCAGAAGCACAGGACATCTACATAAGCTTTGCATGTCAAATAGGTCATAAATTTTGTCCTTTCTGAACACAACATGAGAGACAAAATGAAGTATGTCTGTATGTGATTATGAAGCATTTTTATAGTTTGAAATCATCATAATGCGCTGTCATCATGCTAGTTGTTGTTAGCATTACTGTGACTGTAAAACTGCATCCTAAAAATTGGGAAAAGCACTTTTCTTGCTAAACTTTGTGTTGAATTATTTGGATGTTCGGAATGGAAATTAGGAAAGTGAGGAATAACTACCTAAAATACTAATTAACTAAGTAAATAAATAATTCAGTTTTTCACATTTTAGAAATCAGGTAAAGTGCCTTTAACCATTGTTAGGCTGTTGATGGATGCACTCACCTTGACCTTATCAGGCATTAGCTCGCAGACCTGCGCCCTGAGGACCTCCTCCTCCTCCTCAGCCCTCACAGCCACCAGCTGGCCTAGCTGTGGAGCAGAAGCTGGAGATATAGCATTGCTTTGGCTTGTGCTGTAGAACATCTTCATCTCATCCTCCATCACCTCCTGGGCCTGTGAGTAGCCCTCCCCGATGTACCTGAGGAGCAGGACACAGGCAGTACTCAAAACTTAGGTCTATTAGGGCCAAACTGATAAATGACTTTGTGTTTGGATGTGCATTCTACTATAAAACCAATCTGCTTTTGAATATTATGTTCAGTTGACTTTTTTGATCATGTTATAACACTGGACCCTGATCTGCTTTGTTTATCTTGCTCTGAGCCTAGTTTCAATTTTGCTATGATTTTTGTGTCACAGGTAAAACTCCTGCACAGTTTTGAAGTCCATAAATCTTTGCCACACTCGTTTTGAGCATTTCAGGTAGCGCGATGGCTGGGTGCCTAGCACTCATGCTTCACAGCAAGAAGGTTACAAGTTCAATCACTGGGGTGCCCATGTCTGGTTGTGTGGAGTTTGCATGTTCTCCCTGTGTCCGGGTGGTTTTCCTCTCGTTACTCAGATTTCCCTCATCAACAGAAAACATGTATTAAGTCATATCCTCCAGCTAAGTTTGTCCTGACCAAGATTAGCAACAACATCTGGAGATGGGTCCCCAAGAACTGAGCTGTGGTGCCTCAGCAACACTGAAGGATGAGTCAAATGCAGGGAAGTATAGGCAAGTGTACCTTAACTTTAATCATGTTCATTACAACTGCATGTTACATTAACATGCTCAGCCACATTGATTAAAAGGCTATTTTCTTCCATGGTTCATTCCCACTGCTGCCAGTGGAGACAATGTTAATAATTTAATAATTTAATAATTTAATAATTACATAGGCACCATTTTATGTTCTAAAACATGAAGTACCAAAGCAAAAGCCAATAAGAATTCAACAATTCAAACAATGCATACTTTATGTTTTTTAATCATTTTGTTTTAATTTACCTGAGTATGACAGCGTTGGTCTCAGTGGCTTCCACCACCAGCACTGAGGGGTACTCCTCTGAGGGGGGCTGGAGCAGGGGCACGTGTAGCCTGGTCTCTATCTCCTTCTCCTCCTTCACCTCCTTCACTTCCTTCACTTCCTTCACTTCCTTCACTTCCTTCACCTCCTTCACCTCCTTCACCTTCTCCTCCTCCTCCTGGGGCCCTGCGTTTGCCCCGTTACTGCTGCTGCGTCTGTACAGGATGGCCCTCTTGGGGTTGTCTGACATGGGGTAGTCTATGGTGCAGATGTGGGAGAGCAGGTGGAGGTTGTCCAGCACATGTCCAGGAAGTTTTGCCTGAAATAAAAACACAGATTTAAATGGTTGTAAACTGCTCATTTGGAATATGTTTAAATTAATTAATTAAATTAAATTTTTATTTTAATTGATGAATCTTAATTGCTTTATTAAATGTGCACTGTGTAACTTCTTCAGGAAGTTCTACAATGTGTCTCCATGGAGTTGTTATAGAGGTTATGCAGATGACATCATAATATTTGGGATTTTTAGAATGAGTGGCAACATTATGAGTGTCAATAAGTGCAATGACATTTTCTTCTGTAAAAGTTCAAAACACTAAATCTAAAATGTGAAAGAGGTGCTACAGTTTAATAACAAATATAAAAGTCCACAACTCTGCTAAATATGTAGTTTGTCCCTCACGTCTAAAATCAAGTCAACGGAAGAAAGCCACTGAACAGTTCAACCATAGGAACACTGCCCACACTCCACATACACATGCACACACACACACATACACATGCACACACACACACATACATGCACACACACACACACATACATGCACACACAGACACTGATACAGACTTTGGATCACACACAGTTGGACTGAAACTTTCCTTAAATCACATGTTTCTGAGTCTGTGTGTTCAAATGCAAAAAACAGAAGTTCCGCAAACATTATTATAAAGGGCTTCAGTGATCATAGTTATCTGAAGCTCCATGATGTATGCAGATGTGTGCGAGATGTGGATACACACTTTATATGTGTCCTGGAAGAGCTTGGGCAGCGCGTGGGCCCACAGTCCATTGGGATACTTCAGCAGGAGCTCCTCCAGTTTGGCCTGCAGGTCTGGACTGAGTGCGGTTGTAGAGGAGGTGGGGCTTGACTTTTTGGAGGAGGGGCTCTGCTGATGTGGGATGCTGCTCTGCTGATGTGGGGCGGGGCTACACTGCTTGGGGGAGGGGCTCTGGTGTCGTGGGGAGGGGCTGTTGGAGCTGTTGGAGCTGTTGGCGGGGCTGGTCCTCTGCTCCTCGGCTGGGTACAGGAGCAGCTCTGTGGGATTGCTGCTACAGGTTTTCTCCACCTACAAAAGAATACCACTGTATAATTTATACATGAATTAGTGACAGAGATCAGCTCCAGGAACACATCGTCAAAGGAGGAACAGGAGAGAACACACTCAGGCAAAAACAATGTCACATCAAATGCAGAAATAAGTTCATTAAAGGCTCTGTACCTAATTTTAAGTGATTTTAACAACTTTTGGAGTGTGCCAGCCTTACCAAAATGTAAGGCTACTGTGGTGACAAAATTACGCATAGTCTCTAAAAGTTGTGAAAAATACTTACAAACGTATTATAGTGAAAAAATAAGATGCTCAGAGTCTGTTAGAAAAGTGAGAAATAAGTCTGGTTTTCACGTTTTTTAAGACAGGACCAGTGTGCTTAGCAAATCAAAACTAGCACACATTGTTGACACAGTGTAAAATTAACTTCTGCTGTTTTTCACGTTGGTCCACATGAAAGCCTTACAGTGCAGATGTGGCTCCATGTCTCCAGCTCCTTCAGGGCTGTAGAGGGCAGGTCCTCTTTGTACAACTCTCTGTAGATCTGGGGCAGCTTAGACACCCAGAATCCATTGCTGTACTTGGCCAGGATGTCCCTGAGCCGGCTCTGGACCAGTGTAGGGCTGTAGGGCCGTCCTCTGTCTGCTACATGCAACCAGTCACACACATGCACAGAACATAGGAGGAAGAGACATGCTTATATCAGTTAAACAGTCGTGCACAATATTCATCTTTTACTGAGATATTCCATGAACTGTTACTTAAAAAGTATCAATTAGGGGTGTCAAATGATCGCGTTAATTGCGATTAATTCATTACAGTCATATTTAGCGCGTTATGTTTTTTAATCGCGTTAATCTCATTTTGAATCTCTAACTTTAGTGTTTCTGTATGTGAGTTTCTTTATTATAAAACCTGTTTTTATGTGTTGTTGGGACAACAACACACACACACACACACACAAAACACATTTATACATTTTTTTATTTCGGTAATTCCATTCATTGCCGGAAAGCCACACAAAACGCGCGCAGTAACAGCGATGTAAACGTCATGTTAACGTTGGCGGCGTCAGTCGCACAATGGACGAGGTCGAAGAGCCAGTAGAACAGAGTCAGCAGCGCACAGGCAAAAACACATTCGTGTCTTGGAAATTATTCTCCTGACGTGAAATATAAAAGAAAATAACAAATATAATATCGTCTGAAAACAACCTGCATAGGCTCATGATGTCTGCACTACTGTCCTATAGTGACCTGCCACATGAGGGGACACGCACACACATGCACACAAACACACACACACACAAACACACACAAACAAAAACACACGTTCATCATCGTCATTAACCTGAGAACACGCGGACCACGTTTCCTTCCGTAGTTACCGCGCGGACATCGCTGTCCTCCCGTGAGCCGCGTGTGGATCGTGTTTTCTCGTGTACGCGGCGTAAACCGCGCTTCCTCCTGTGCGCCTCTAAACCAGAACTAACACCAAGACTAAAACCAGGACTAAACCAGGTCTAAACCAGGACTAAAACCAGGTCTAAACCAGAACTAACACCAAGACTAAAACCAGGACTAATCCAGTCCAGGACTAAACCAGGACTAAACCAGAACTAAAACCAGAACTAAAACCAGGTCTAAACCAGGTCTAAACCAGGACTAAACCAGGACTAAACCAGAAATAAAACCAGAACTAAAACCAGGTCTAAACCAGGTCTAAACCAGGACTAAACCAGAACTAAAACCAGAACTAAAACCAGGTCTAAACCAGGACTAAACCAGGTCTAAACCAGGTCTAAACCAGGTCTAAACCAGGTCTAAACCAGGACTAACACCAGGACTAACACCAGGACTAACACCAGGACTAACACCAGGTCTAAACCAGGACTAAACCAGAACTAACACCAGGACTAAAACCAGGATTAATCCATTCCAGGACTAAACTAGGACTAAAGTAGGTCTAAACCAGGTCTAAACCAGGACTAAAACCAGTGATCTCATATATATTTCTCTATCAATAATATTTTTAATATGGTTAAGGAAAGACTGGACTTTTTATTGTCTTTAAGTACACAAAAGTTATTATGTTCAGATTTCCTCGTCTTTGCTACTTTACAACAAACAGTTTCTTATTCATGGAGACTTGGGCTCAACAGCCAAATTGGAGAGATTTGTTAAACAATAAATGACTTTATAAAGTCACTTTTTTAAATCTATATCAGTCTTTTCATCTGCCACAATAATGTAATAATGAATTTAAATGAAAATACCTCAAATTGAAGGATTTTCTCAGCAATTTTTAGGTGAGATTAAAATGAGATTAATTAGATTAATTAATTACAGATCATAATTAATTAATCTCTCAATTTTTTTAATCGCATGACAGCACTAGTATCAATATTAATCTTTTTTCAGTATGTTGCATTCATGTGACATCACAACATTCTAAAATCCCTATAGTTTAACCTGAGCTGCAGGCAGGTCAGAGTTGTTAGGTGGTGTTTCTTTGGAACTGTCAGATGCAGATTTGTTGACCTGGTTTATGGTTCATATCTCTTTAATTACTGGGCCTATCCACATGAAACTAAAACTGGCACAAAGTTCAGTGTTTTCTCTGTCAGTAAATAAATAAAAGTGAAATGATTATTTTTTTCACAGTAGCTTCAGAAAGTATTGTCCTCATCTCCTGTCCCACTATAGCTAATGATGATCCAAGTGCATGTACTTACAGCCAGTGTGTGGAGTGTTCTTAGAGAGGTGAGTGTGCACTTCTTTGTGAAAGCGCGAGGGCAAAGTCATCCTTTTATCTGACCTGGACACAACAAACCAGGAGGAGACATGTTAGGATATGGAAGACAGAGATCTGTCCCAAACTCTAAAGCCCTGTCTTGTACCATGGTACAACCTCTGTCTTTTATTCTCAAGGTTGGTGTTAGAAGGTTAGATGTGATTCCAAATGTGATGAATACCTACACTGGGTACACTGGTACACTGTGTGAATGGGTGAGTGGTTCCATGTAAAGCACTTTGAGTGTCTTTAAAAGTAAATAAGTGCTATGACCATTTATCGTATAACATTTTTCCCTCATCAAAAAGGTTTTAGATGTCATTCATGCATGTCTGAGTAATCTAGTGATCTTTCCTGATCTTTCCCTCTATTCAAACTCTCCTTATGGTTAGATGTAAGATTCTGTGAAATGCTCTGCCCTCAAGCCTACATCCCCCACGCTCCCACATGACAATTCTCCATAAATATACAAAAACATGATACAAAACAATACACTACAGCTTCACAAATGTGCCCCAATGTGCAGTAGTTTCATTAATGAAATGTGTTACCCAAAGATACCCCCTCTTTTAAAATGTGAAAGCTGTTTACTGCACTCCAAACGTATTCCTCACTTTTCTAACACAGTCTGAGCATCGTAATTATTCATTGTCATGAGGTGCTTGGTAATGCAGCAACTAGCATGTTAACTCCCTTCCTGTTTCCTAGCTGATATATTTGAACTGGGGCAAAACACATTTTACAAGAACAAAAAAAATCAGGTCCTGTCCTTTACACACTACTTCAGAGTGTACATTTGTTTTTGTGCCCTTACTATCTGACTGTCAGTTCACCAAGTCATCTTGACAGCTCTACTCCGGGCATGTTTAACTAATTCTTGATTTTAAAAATAAATAAACTGCAAATCAAATGTCCCTCTCCAATTACACTCTCCATGTGCCCAGTGTATGGCAGTGTTGTGTGTGTACAGTGTATGTAGAGCAGTCAGTGACCTGGTGTTGCTCTCAGAGATGTGCTGATTCACAGAGTGTCTTTAACCAGATAATCCTCACAGTACACAGAGGGATTAGAGCGCGAGCTCCTGTGCTCGCACCAGGGCCCCACACACTGCCACATGTCCTCTGTCCACACTGTCCTCTGTCCACACTGTCCACATGTACACTCTGCACTCTCCTCTGTCCACACTGTCCACACTGTCCACTGTCCACACTGTCTACACTGTCCACTGTCCTCTGTCCACACTGTCCACATGTACACTCTGCACTGTCCTCTGTCCACACTGTCCACACTGTCCACACTGTCCACACTGTCCACACTGTCCACACTGTCCACTGTCCACACTGTCTACACTGTCCACTGTCCTCTGTCCACACTGTCCACATGTACACTCTGCACTGTCCTCTGTCCACACTGTCCACACTGTCCACACTGTCCACTGTCCACACTGTCTACACTGTCCACTGTCCTCTGTCTACTGTCCACGGTGACCTGTCTTCACTGTCCAGATGTCCAGTGCTGGACATGTGGACAGACACACTACACACAGGACACAAGTGCAAGCATCTGACACCTGTCTGTCACCTGTTACCTGCGTGTCACCTGTCACTGTCTGTGACTGTCTGTCACTATTAACAGCCTGTTCTACTGGACCACATATCAAATACTTCATTATAAAACATAACTCATTTTTACAGCTTTAAAATGTTGAAAGAGAAATGAATCAAATGTTTTCCTCATTTTGATCTTTCTAAATAAAGTTGGTATAGCATGGGTTTTGATTTTCGTTGGTCTGATCAGTAGTGATTTCATGAATAGGACAAATTGTACTTGTGTAATTTAATATCCAACAGTCTAAATTATTCCTCCCAAACTCTGCTCCAAATCACATTCTTTTACTGACAGAGGATTGGCTGTAGACCTCTTCATTAAAATCGCCCAACCATGTTAGCATGCTAACATTGCACTTTCTTTTTCACCAACAACAGATGTCTTTATAATTAGATGTGGACATTACACAGCGCCCTTTTTTAACATGAAGAGCTGCTCATACAATAAATCTTTCCTGGAGCAAGACAAATATTCCTTTTCACATTATAAAAGTCAGATACAGGTCCATAAATGCATTCTCTCTTCAATCTTTTATCACTAGCCCTCCTCTTCTGCTTCATCTTCATCACAGCAGCAGAACCATCAGCCTCTCCAACTCCTCCTCCTCACCACCAGTGTCCACTGTCCAGCCTTTGTTTTCCAAAACAGCAGAGATGCCTGTACCAGATCTCTGCTGTCTGTAATTCTACACTGTCCTACCTACACTCTTAAAAAAAGTCCGTAGGCGCTTGTTGTCACTCACTTGTCCCCAGGCGCGTGTGTTCTCTTGTGGGCTGTGTGTTGGTGGGCTGGCCTGCCGTCTGGAGGTCCATCTCTCAGCTCTCCAGTGTGGGCCACTCTGAAGTCTCCCTGACCCGCTCTGCCTCCTCTTCCTCCCCCTCTCCCTCCTCCTCCCCCTCTCCCTCCTCCTCTTCCTCCTCCTCTTCCTCCTCCTCCTCTTCCTCCGCGATGACCAGGCTGTCGAAGGGACGTCTGGGGTTTGGCTGCTTACACACACACACACAGCCTGACTCAGCTTGTTTCTATCTTACAGTCAATACAAAACTAAATAACAATTCCATCAGTATGGCATGTATTGACTTCAGACTGGTTAGATTCAGTATAATGTTGTCACCATGTATGTACAATGTGCTGGTGTCCTCTTTAAGATGGGGCTAGGATTCTTGTATCCATTATTGTATTTTTTATGGTTTTTTTTAAGTCCTTTAAATACAAAGGTCACGCTTTTACATTTTATTTATTGTAAACATGATATTGATCTAAAACAGCTAAATAATAGAAACTGATTCCATAGGCTCTATTCACACTTACGTCCTTATAGTACAATTTCAGTATACAGTTTTTATAGTTGAAAAAGGCAGCATGTCAATAGGCTCAACAGCCCCTGGCAACCTTACAGTAAAAGTCATTACTTTGTGTCCAGTTCTACCTCTGTGAGGTTTTTGTTGCAAGCTAAAGTATTCTTTACTTAAACAGGGTGTTTTTGACTTCTACGGAGTATTAACTGCAACACATATTTAGATCACCATGTTACCTTAACTTGTTTTAGAAGTTTCACTTACAAAACAAGTTTTCACGCTCTGAATCCCCCCTCCCTTTGTTCCCTGTGCTAAGCCACTCCCCCTTTAGAGCACTATCACACCCCAATCAGCGAGTATCCTGCTAATGGAACTACTGCATCACATCTGGTTTGTCACATTGTTGTGTACAGTTTTGTGTCCTGCTTTTGTATATTTATGCCCCACGGGAGCATGGGTGACATAGACTTGTGGGCTGACCCTTGTACAGGCTCGTACTGCCAACCATAAGAAGGGTTTGAATCGTGCGGGAGAGATCGATAAATGCTTACACATGCATGGATGACATCTAAAACCTTGTTTTTGCTGAGGGAACAACGTTATAACATGGTAGACAGCTAAAAAAAAAAAGATTTTACATAATAAAAAGCTCTAGCATGTGGATTTTACATAACAGAGATCCAATAGATCATTTACTGTACTTGTATTTCCTCCACACATCAATTACCAATAAAACGTAAGATAAATCTGCTCACATCTAATGTTGCAGTCTTTCTGTATAGCGCCCCTAGTGGCACACACAACGCACTATGTCATCATATCTGTACACTTCATCCCAGCCAGCTTCCTGCTCCTGCCATCTCACCGGCAACAGTTCACCACACAGATGTGACCCCAGGACACGTGGGCTAGACTGAAATGGTGTGTAAGTGAACGCTGTGTCATGCATATGGAACAAAAATACATATATCTTAAACACATACGCCTCCGAGCCTCAGAGCAGCACTGTCAGGTCGCCAGTGGTGTGTACGGGCAGTCTAGGAGCGTGCACGCAGAGTCCAGGAGCGAGCACGTGAACATGTATCCACACACTGCAGAGGAGGAGAGGGCACAGCGCCTGTGTGCTCAGAGGTGGAGCTAGCACAGTTCAGCTCTCTCTACTCTCTTCTCAGTATGACCCCGCCTACTCTCAAGAATCAGAGCAGAGGGGGTACAGAACACATAATCGAGTATAAGTATAAGTTAAAGGAGCACTTCTGGACTCTGTCTTTCACTTACTTGCTTTAAGTGTGATATTCCCCAGTCACTGTTGGGAAGTAACTGAATGTATAGAGAATACATATGTTGAATAGTTTTGAGTAGCTGTATTCGGTACACTTACCCTTTCATTTGGTGCATTCAGAATACAGTTACTTTTCTAAAATCAAAAGAATACAATGCAGTAGGTCATCCCACAATTTAGGCTTCAAACTGCATAGCATTAGTGGGAAAAATATAAACCACAGCTCTTGTGGTGAGGAATATGTGATTTTTCCTGCTCCATTTAGTGATAGAAAATGCATCTAACAGAATACGTTACAATATACATTTTAATGCAGGTATTCAGTTTGAGTTTTTCAGTTTTTCTACCACATCACTACACGCTACTATGTGAACATTGTTCCCTCATCAAAAACATGCCTGAGGAAGTTTTACATGTCATTCATGCATGTTTGAGTATTTTAGCGATCTCTCCAGGGCCCTATTCAAACCCTCCTTACAGTTTGCTGTAAGATTCTGTGCAATGCTCAGCCCCCACAAGCCTTCGTCACCCATATAATTCTCCATAAATATACAAAAACATGATACAAAACTGCCTAGAGTGACTTGACAAACCTGTTGTGATGTGCAGTGGTTTCATCAGCAGTATGCACTCTAATTGTGTGATATTGCTCTGAAGGGGCAGTGACTTAACTTGTAGAGCAAACGGAAGGGAGACTCAGAGAGAATACAGCATTTTCAAAACAATAAAAGGTAACATGGTGATCTAAATATACCCCATGGAAGTAACACCCCTCTTTAACCTCACAGTCCCGAGCTGTATTAGTGCTTACACATGATTACATCATATCACTGTGTATAGCCAGAGTATGACTGGTGCTTGAACCAGTCGCCTCACCGTTGAGTGCCAGGAGAGCGGCGGGCTTGACTCTCATGTGGGTGTTGACCAGGTGAGCCCGGCCCGTCCTCCTGGAGCTGCGCTGACGGGCCACCACCTTAGCCATGCCCCCCTTCTGCCCCGTTCCAGAGGGAAAGTACAGCACCTGCACACACACACACAAATACATCACAGGGGCTACTGTCACACCTGTCACACCTGCACATGTCATCACAAAGTCTAAGCTTATGTAATGGAGACAACTAGAGGCTAAACACATTTTCACTAACTGACATCAGATCTAAATGCTAATGGTTTTAAAAGAACTGTATGTAAGACTTTGATTTTACATTTCATAAACTTGACCTATTGTGTCCCCAGACAAACATTGCTTTTACTGATAATAGCTGTAATGCTGATTTATTTTAAATTACAAATACATTAGACATGATGACTCTCTCTTTTGGGTTGCAAGTTTCAATGCTGAAATCCAGTTGGTATAAACCTAAAATGTCTCTCTGATCTGAATGGTCACTACCTCATCCCCAGTACCTGCACCATTCATTTGTACAGTAAAAACTAGGAATGCACTGATCCATCTTTTTCTTTTCTATCAATATTGTTATCGTTATTGATACTTTTACTTTAAGTATCTGCCAATACCCGATATGAACCAATACCAGGGTAGGATGGAAAATGGCACTTATTTCCTGTGTTATAAAACACAGTGAACTTATTACACAAGAAATCAGACTGTATTCTGTAACTGTTCTTTATCTTTCAAATCACGGCTGAACAGGTTTGTATGAGCAAAATCAGCCTGTCAATAATCATACTACATCCAGTTAAAGGCCTAACCAGGGTATTGGCTGAACTATTATGGAACCAATACCCAATCCTGCTCATTTTTCAGTATATATTGGTGCATCCATAGTAATAACCTACAAATCTGGACTGTGTCAATGTGTCTATCATACTATCATACCCAAGCAAAGAGTGTAAACTACACGTGTAAAAGTCTTTAGCTCAGGTTCTGATGTTACTCACATGTGCCTGAGTTATTTCCATTTACCAAGACTTTTCATGTTGTAATAATCCAATAATCCACTTCATTTTGACACTGTCCATTTGCTTCCATTCAAGAGTGCAGACTGTTGTTGCAGGACTGCTGTTATCTTTTGAAAGGTCAATATTGTATGATGAGATGAAGGGTCATAGTCAACATTATTTGCAAATAGGAAATCCACATGTATGTCAGTGAATGGTGCCAAAACATACTATAGTTTGTCCTCTGACCTGATCTGAAGCTGACCTTCTCTTATTTATCTTGTTGTGATGTAATGTCTGGTCTACTGTGTGTCTACAGTCATGCTACCATGAGTGACTAATGCAACTTTGATCTGTCACTATAAAAAAATATCTATGACTGTAGTCTTAATCATGTCCTAGTCATTAGCAGCATAGACTGCAAAAAGGGAGTATGACATCACCTCCATATCTCCATATCAGCTCCATTTCTTGATTTACTGACAAAATAGAGAAATAAAAACACCAGTTAATACTGGTTAATAGAAAGTGAACTAGATCCAATTGAGTCGATGGAGCCAGAAATGCTCCCATGCTCACTTTCTATTTGTAACACAACAGTTAGCTATGTCCATTTATACAGTTTAAACATTATGGCAATTTTTATTCCATGTGAATAATAGGTCAGATAATTGTAGCTGTTAACAGTAACCCAGGGCAATGCTATTTTTAACATTTCATTGAATAAAATGAAGTAAATCCTGACCTGTCCTCTAGCTCGGTTTTAAATGATTGGCTCCTATGTTATCAAATCACACGAGCACAATCTAATCACAGCTCTCGGCAGATTTTCTTTAAGAACAGATGTACTCTTGTTTAAACTGGGTTGATCTGGATCCAAGTGAAAGACAGGAAGGAGTTAGTTCTAGTTTAGGATTGGACTTGGTTTAGTAGTTAAAACAAACATTTTAAGACCAAAAGGACAGCCTGACAGCAGCAGTTACAGAGAGAGTTGTGATAGTTTTTCAACACAGGTCAACCAGAGCCTGAAGGAACCACCTTGCGCCTGCTCACTTCCTATTTGGAATGCAGCCGCTATGCTAGCTATGTCCATTTATACAGTCTATGTTTTAAACATGGTTTATTTGCTTAGTCCTGAGATAAGGATAATCAGGAAGTGCACATTAACATGCTTGTTGTTTTAAGCTTGACTGTCAGGGCAAAACTCCGCTCTAGCCTTTGAAAGTTGTGATAAATGCTTATAAACTCATCGTGGTGAAAAATTAGGATGCTCAGAATGTATAAAGTAAGTGAAGAAGAACTTTGGAGTAGAGGTCTGCACAGGACAGAATTTTCAGTCCTGCTTCCGCCCACACCCGCATTGTGCAGTCCCTCTCCCGCAAAGAATTGTAATTTTCAGTCCCGCTCCCACCCACATCTGCGATACTTTGTCCTGCTCCCACCCGCAAGTCCCACAAGATGGGGACGTTGGCTTTGTTAAGCTCTGTCAAACACGGAGAAGCGGAAAGGAATAGTTTAGAATGTGCACAAGATTAGACCACATCTGCAAGTTTAGGCTGCTTAAAATGTTTCTATTAATGTCAAAAAATATCCAGCACAAATGATGTATGATAGGCATACATTAATCATTTGTATATTTTACTTTACACTCATGTTTAGTTTGCAGGACTGCAGTTTATCATCCCACCCGCCCGCTCCCGAATTGTGTGATCTCGCTCCCGCTCGCACCTGCATCTTTCAAATGGTGTCTCGAGCCGCACTGTTTTGCATTGGGTCCCACGCGGGCCTCTCGCAGTTGTGCAGAGCTCTACTTTGGAGCACTGCAAACTGTTTTCACATTCTTAATATGGTAAAAATCAGGTACAGCACCTTTAATTTCCTGAGTGGCTTGTTGTGTTTTAGTATGTGAGCAGAATCCCTCACCTCTCCTGTGTCGGTGCGCTCTGCCCTGACCACAGAGGGCAGTGTGTCCAGCAGGCTGCTCACAGTTCCATGTCCGAGCGGCATGTGTGGAAGGGACTCTCCAGTCAGCTCTCGGTACTGGCTCTGCAGACGAGATGCAGTGACCCCACTCCTCTGGGCCTGCAGAATACCACCCAGCAGCTTCTTCAGCAGCTCTGGGTCAGCCATCTGAAGAGACAAACACATTTCAATATTAATTAGAGCCCGACCGATATATCGGTTGGCCGATATTATTGGCCAATACGGGCACCTGACGGCATATCGGCTATCGGCCGATATGCTTGCCGATATTTCACGTGGGCATGTGATACGTCGTTAAAAATCTTAGACTCTCTACATTATGTTCATTTAATCCAATTTACAGACAGATAAATGGCTCTGCATCAGTATTTATCTGCGGAGTCATTTGTCTGTGTCTGTGTCTGTACTGTCCCTGAACACACCACAGAGTCGTGTCACTCACGTGTGTTTGTTTACACCTGCAGACACAGATCCAAACACTGAGATTATTTTCTTTTTACGGACAATCGGTTTGAGTCTGAATTAAAAGGACATTTATTAGTGCAGACTTTTGATGTGAGGAGGAGCCTGTGTGAGTGGTGAGTGTTGGAAATATGTCGACTTTGAAGCTAGTTTTGGTCATTTGTTATGGGTTAGCTGCTGTAGCTCCCGCACATAAACAGGCTGTTTTCTATTGGTCTATTGTAAATTGGCTACATTGGCCGTATATTTGTTACTGAACCTGCACTGATATGTAAATGAGCTGTGAATAGACGTGTGAATTATGACATTGGTAGTACTTTCTTTTCTCTTCCCATGAGGCCTTATATGTGTGTAATCCCTCAGTGGTCTAGGCAGGATCTATAGTGGTCCATGGGCGTGTATTAGTTAGTTTGTGTGGCTATGTTTCTCATGTGGGCTGAGGATTAGACAGAATCACACTGCTAACCATAATGAGATCACAAGATTACTCAAATATGCATGGAGGACATCTAAAGTCTCTTCAGGCACGTTTTTGATGAGGACACAATGCTATAACATGGTAGAAAGCTCCAAAAAGTCGATGTTGCATAATACCCAGGCCTGTCACGGTAATTACTATATTGATTTATCGTTCAGTATATATGAAAGATGAAACAATATTTTTAAGCTCCATTTTAATTGTTTGTACAATTCTTTGCAATAGAGGGGAGATTTGTGTTAACTTGTATGTAATAAGAACAGATTTGAGCTGTAGAGGGTTGAATAAATAACTTATATGGCTAAATATAGGTTCATTCTGATATTTATTTCTTATGCTTTTTAATGATAGTGTCTATTTAAAATTGGTTTACTGGATTACCCTTCTTTGTGTAAGTGGGATAAAGTAGTCTCAATATTATCGTTTATCAAAGTATTTCTCATTAGCAAAATATCATGCTTCAAAAAGTGTTATTATGACAGGCTTAATACCCCCTGTTTAGCTATATAATAACTCATTTGGTGCAATTCGACTCCTTATAACGATTGGCAAAATATTAATTACTGTTAAACTGTCACAAAAATGAAAAGATAGCTGTTGCCTGATGAACATGTGCCCTTACTGTGAGTGGGATTGCATCTCCACAAACCTAACTCGACTCCTTTTAGGTCTGGGGGAGGATGTCCTCGAAAGTGTTTTTAACTTTCTGTTTCCAGGGAATCATGCATGTGACTGTCACCTCCAGAACGTCACACACAGTGTTACGTTTGAGCTTCACGGTGAACTGTGTGACTGTGTTTGAGGGGCACATTCTGTTGAGGTCTGTTGTTTGAAAAGAATTCCGCCATATAAGTGACAGCAATTTGATAATGTATTTAGGCTATCAAATATTCCGAACACTAAACAAGAACACGCCTTCATTTAACACAGCTCACTGCAGGCTGACATTCTAACAGGCTGATACAAAAGGGGACTGAATAAAACTATACTTTTTTGAGATTTAAAAGTCGTCTTTATAGAGAGTTTAACTGTGAACAATGACAGTGTGACAAATACAGCACACACACCCTCCACCGGCACCGCCACCTATCTGCACCACATTCCTGTGGTCTTTTCATTATTTACGAGTATCTTTATGCGGCTAAATGCTGATAAAAGTGTGCCCTGGGCCGTGGGAGCGACTGTCCCCATTACAACCACACGGAATATCAAGTTTATTCTACTTGTCCCTCCGGGAAACCAGCGGTAAAGTTAGTGAAAAGAAAACTACACAAGGCCGGATGTATAAGTCTGTTACCTTTCAAACTAAAGCCCGCACACGTGTTTGAAATACACGTGCCTTTATTTAGAAAACTAAAGCGGATGTGCCTTCCGTTTGTGACGCTAGTCTAATCTCTCGGAGCCATCTGAGCTGGCAGGTCGGCGAAAGAGAAACAGCAACCGGCACAAGTTCGCTAAAAGTTTAAACACCGCACAATGCAAAGAGGAGTAAGCCCAAAAGTGTGTACCTCGTGCCGTGTATCTCGTACCGTGGGCAGTGTGTGTCGAGGAGTGGGCTCCAGGATGGGTCCTTGTGCCCTGTCAGCGGCGCAGGGTGAACCGCGGCGAAGCTCTGCACTGCCGCTCCTCTCTGCCGCTCCTCTATCGCACTGCCGCTCTGCCGCTCCAGCCTCCTCTAGCTCATTGGTCAAATCGGCATGGCCCTCGCCCATGCCCTGACCCCGGGATAAGCCCACGTCGCATCCTGTCGCACACCCACGGTCACGGATAGAAAGACCACTATAGGCATCAAAACGAAAACATTCAAAAGCTAATTAACTTGATCGTACTTGGCAAGTACGATATCCATAGAGCAAAATTCAAACCTTGTTTCCAGTTGCTTTGAATTAAAATAAATCTTTACTTTTAATATATACTGCAAAAAGTTTGATCAATAACCACAGAGACGCAATAAGACGTAATACTACCCCTCCTCAATACCATCTATGGATACTTCTTGGTTATTATTTATTTAAATTGAACGTCTTCTTTATTTGTTTATATTGTATTATATGCATTATAACAAAAAAAACTGACTGGCTGATTATAGTTATGTCTTTTAAAAAACGTACTTAAATAAACATATAACTAACTAATAAATCCAAGAAACAGCGTAAGAATCTCCCAACAGAGTTCTCTAACAAAGTAAAATAATAAAGTCATGAGTGCGGGGAAGACGTATGCTTCTCTCCACGGGAGGCGCTGTTTCCTGTGTCACGGCGGAAGTGGCTGGCAACAAGCGGCTAGCGGCTAAAGGCTACCGGCTGATGCTAGTCCAGAATCAAAACAAGGAGTGGTTTTCTTTTATTTCCCTTTCATTAACCCACCTAAATCGGTTCTTTTTTATACGACAGGTATGTAACGGAACACGGCAACGATCGTAATTATAAATGTTCATTTTAATCGCTTTTACTCGCAGATATTTGTAGAATTTAAACTCTTAAGCTTTGACAAGGGGAATCCATTTGATGAAACTAACTATATGACAGCTGATCAGAAAATGCAGATTATAAGCAACACGCATGTTTTATTATCCCTCAGACTTCTTTGTTCTTTAGTTGGTCAAGTACAAAGTAGTACAATAATTCTAGCCATCAGATCATCCAGGGCGTCACCCATTGAGATAAACGCGTAGCTTCTTGGCCAAAGAGTTCAGTTTAGTGCAAAAACAGCATGTATTCCCAGTTTAATTTTATCTTGTAGAGTGTTTAAAGCAGTTGGAGGAGCAGAGGCACGTCCCATTCGATTACGATGCGAGTGTGTTGTGGAAATCTACCCTCCCTATCAGTTCTATGGGCTGTGACAGAGAAGCTCAGACTAACGCTGAGTTTTGATCTGTCAACATGTGAAGCAGGAAGAACATTTATTTAGCACTTACATTAGAGCCTCAAAAGCGTTACATTGTAAAAGAAACTATGGCTTTAAGCAGAAGGCATTCCTACACCCCTCGGGTAAGTAAGTCACCTTCTCTGGTATTACTTTTACTTTATGCTGGATCTGGTGGTAATTGCAATTATAGAAAATAGGATAAAACTTCCAAATGTGTCCAAATTTTTAGAATGTCACATTATAAGAGAAATACTCTGAAAAATTTGAATAGAAAACAAGGAGCGGTTTTCTTTTATTTCCTTTTCATAAACCCACCTAAACCTGCCCTTTTTTATATGGCAGGTATGTAACAGAACACAGCAACTATGAGAAAATACTGTGAAAAATTTGAATACAATATTGCCCTTTAAATATTAGAATTTCATATCATTATTTTGTAACCAGATTCATTGGCGTTAAGGTACATTGTTGCATGGTCTAACATGTATTTACATATGGGTCCGGTCAAGTGGTAACGGAGGGAAACGGGCAGATTTTTTACATTCAAATAGCTCTTATTCAGAAACTAGAGGTACTGTTGAAATAAGTAAGGTATCAGAATGTAGGAAAGAGTTAACACTCCAACAGCGTAAAGTTAAACCTGTGATATTCTTTCACATTGTTGACAAAAAATAAAAAAACTCATGTGGGTAACGGAGGGAAAGAAATATGCAGCACTTTTTGGGCAATAAATACAAACCGTAATAACTAGCAGTTCTCACTTACATATCCTTAACAAACTGGTTTGAATATTTGCTTCATATAATTTTCTACCATATGGTACAAGATTAGGTTGAAAAACCTCTTACTTTTTGAGTCATGAGATTTTTTATTAAGAAAGGTCATGGTAACGGAGGGAAAAGTAACGGAGGGAAAATTGTGCAAGCAAGTAGAAGGTGCATGATTTTGCATCATTTGTCAGCTTTTTTCTTCAGAATATTTTAATATTACTTCAAAATGAAAGGAAACTATTTCTATAAAATATGTCAGTCCTTCCAAGCAAATTTTTATCATTTTAAATGTTTTTTTTTTTTTTGAAAAATCATGTACCTTCATCAACAGTTCAAAGATGGAATAACACAAGATATGATGAAATACATCCATTTATTGACATGATTTGCAGGTCTTTGAAATTTGGGAAATAATTTTTGTTCCATGTTTCATACATGGTCTGTTTAAAACATATGTAACTTTAGAACCAAAAATGGTACAGAAAAAAGGTAAACAGTTTCATAAACTAGAGTACATATGCTATCTGTTGAATACATTTTTACATCAGATGCATTAACTTGAATTTTTGGCCTTGCTTCTGCTTGACCGGGCCCATATGACCAAATATGACAACATATTGTGTTAAATACTTAAATTATATTGTGTTAAATACATATATTCTTGTCTGATAGGAATTCTTGTAAAATGTCTATTGTATCTGGGCAAATCCTATGCTGTTACTTTATAAAATGTGCAGCCATTATTTTGTGACAGTCTTCAAATGTACTTAAGAATGGACATTATTAATGTTTTATTTTTAGATAGATCAACTATGTAGTCCCTGAGTTTACGTTAAGGCTCCACAGTTTTGTAATAATAAGATTCTGTGCAAAGTTCATATATTGAACATGCCAGAAAGAATTTAGACAAAAAGACTGACATAAATTAGCTATTGGTCCATTCAAATTGCAATTTCGGTTTGATCTCAATTAATAGTGCAGCACTAGTTTCTATTACTTCAAGTTCAAGGTGTTACAGTTATTGGTACAGTTGACTTACCATAAGATGGAAGACTGGTAATTACTCTACAAATATCACTTTGTAATTTTCCGTATTATTTCTCCATAATAACATCTGAATATAACAGTTTTAGTCTAAACAGAACAGAAGTTACAATCTTGTGTTTTGTGCCTGGCGGTGAGAAAATACAGCAGCGTGAATTCACATGTCGTGTCTGTCCCCGCTCCGTTAGCTTGGGTCTGAATGAGCATCTTTGTGTGAGCCAATCTGCCTCAGGATTTTGACATTACCCAGACTGCTGTGGTCAGGACATATGACTAAGTGTGATTTTCTGTCTTGGCCTTGCACTACAATCATATCAATATTGTTATCTATGTCCAAAGCATAAGCTAATTGAATGTAGCATCAGACATGTTAGGATACTGCGTTTATCTGAGTGACAAAGGAGGTAGAGAAAGTCAATTCATGATAGACCTTGGGAATTGAGTTAAAAACGGAAATTTTATAGAAGTTAAATCAACATTCTAAACAAGAGCTGATTTTTATCTTTGGTGGGAAACGACATACCGTGTTCCCTCTGGGTTGATTTTAAAACCTACTGCTAACGCTGTAGTTAGACCTCTGCAAACATGTTTTGAAATGTATAGGATTCTAGTAGGGGTTAAGCAGTTCAGATTTCAGCCTCTCAAATGTCACTTCTTCTGGTTTAAAAGAACAATAAAACTGAACTTGGGATGCCATCATCTGCCATATACTGAGGACACATCATACAATGAAGATCCTTTTGGGGTTAATGCAAGCTAGATTTAGTCTTGAATCTGGCACCCAAAGTGGGGAGCTCTTCCTTCTTTTTTAATGGATAACAGGCTTGACATCAAAACCACAACATATAAACAAAAACAACTTTTATAGCTTGTTGCATAGTTGTGACCAAATCTAAATTAAGATTGCTGCAATAAATAAAATGCAGAATGCAACACTTGAAGTTAGTTTGTGTCTATAATGAGTCATAGAAGTTATTTATTCTATCTTCGATCCGCTCATACAAAGAAAAAGTCGCAACAATAAATATGGAGCCTCAAAAATAATTGTTCTATCTGTCTATTTTACCATCACATCTCACATCTCTCAACGATAGGTCGATCTAGTATTCATCAAGCCTAAAACAAAATCAGTATTCTTGCTTTTTAAAAAAGCTATCATGTGAGGCCCGTTCTGCTTTGTGATTAGATAATTGTCTTGAGAACCAAAATACTAAATTAATGAGTACCATGTCTAGTTTTTTTGTAATGAGGAATGAGGAATCAGCATTACAATTGTTATGAAATTTAAAATTGAAATTTTGAATAAAGTTTCTTTAGTGTCTGAGCATATAGAAGAATCATATTCTGCCATTTTAAAATGCCAAAATGAGTTGAGTACTTCTTTGGATGTAGAAATTATATAAATGACACATTATGTTGCTCTTGTTTTGTAGCTGACCAGCCCACTGATCAGCAAAATGAGCAGCGGGGGAACAGTGGAGAGCAGTAAGCCTCCCAAGGTAAGCGTTTAGGGCTATACATGTAAAAAGCTTATCATGTAAAATAAATATTATTGAAAGTTTTTGCTTTAGGACCTTTTAACACCTTCTTCCCTCTGTGCTCAGATCGGCTCTATCGTTGAGGTGACGGGGAAGGGCCAGCGGGGGACCGTAGCCTACATTGGGGCCACGCTGTTTGCCACAGGGAAGTGGGTGGGAGTGATCCTGGACGAGCCCAAAGGCAAGAATGACGGAACAGTTCAGGGCAAGCGCTACTTTACCTGTGAGGAGAACCATGGCATCTTCGTCAGGCAGTCCCAGGTAGGCAAGCTCGTTTGACTCTAAAGTGACAGATATATATAGTCGCGATATTCGAAGAATAGTGAGACAGTGACATTCAACACAACTCACCGTAAGTTGGGAAAAAAGTAGTCGCTCTAAATATTTTACGTTGCCCTCTATACTGTCATTATAAAGTTTCCTATTTCTATGAAAAGTTACCAAAATGATTGTTAAAACTTTCAATGACAAAATGAAAAAAATTACATGTAAATCTTTTCATAATGGCTTGACATTTGTAAGCTTTTTGGACAAACTTGTAGTTAATACAATTTCACTTGCTCTCCAAATTGGAAACTGGTATTAAACCACTATCTATGAGCAAGGAGTTCATGGGGGAAAATAATAAAGTAGCTAATAAGCTACATACCCATAAGCTACATACTTACAAACTAATGTTATCTGCATGTAGCTGTAATGCAGTTTGATGGCAGAAATGGTTAAAACTAGTCTGCTGATGATTTCTAGAGCTAAAACAATGCAGGATTGCTATCTATGACTTCACAATCCTGGGAAAATGCAAACATAGATGAACTTATGCACAGGATTGCTGAAACAAGTATAAGTCACACTAAATACAACTCCAGGTAATAAGTTGTTTTGTTGAGGATGCAATGTTATGTGAACAACATGGTTAAAAGCTCAAAGTAAATTGTGCACGATACATGTCATGTATTTTCACAGTTCACCACATGTAAACTGACTGGGAGTAAATATCATGCTTAAAAATCTACTTCAAAAAGTACAGCTACCACAAAAATCAATTCAACTATAGTAACATGGGTACTTCTCAACCCTAATACTTCTACATGTTTACTGTGTAGATCCAAGTGGTTGAAGATGGTTCCAGTGCCACGTCCCCAGACACCTCTGACTCAAGCTCCTCTAAGATCCCCAGACAGAGGGCTGAAAAAGGTACAGATGCCTGCATATGATGGATGTTTTGTGTCATGTAAACTAGAGCTATGTATTAATATAGTCCTTTTGTTTACACCAGATGTTCCAGAAACTCCCAGGACAATCAAGCAGGTAAAGTGCAGTACAGCGCTGTCCCTCTCTCATATGGAGCAGGATATTTTTTGTATCCCTCAAAGAAATGTCCAAATGGAAAATCTGTCAATGTTGAACCAGCCATTCTATTTTAGTGATCATATAGACCCACGATTTATCCAATCACACCACAAAACTTGCTCATTGATCACTGATAGAATGACATTTTTGCACTTTTTAAAAGCATTGACTAATGAATGTAAAACTTCATCTGTCTTATTTGAACACAAAATATGGACTGCTTTATAACAGGTTTGTAAAGAAAGAGTCATGGATGATTTTGTTGTTGAGTCAAATCAAGTTATTTTAGGGAAAAAGAATAGTTGGTAGAACTTACTGGATCATAGGCTGTATAAAGAATGGAAACACTGGAGCTTTCGATGTCAGTAAAGATATAGATTTGTGATTTTTGTGTATTTTTCTCACCCTCTTTTCCAGACCCCTGCAGGACTTAAGAAGGTATACACATGTTCTGCCACACTTGCTTTGGATGTGGTTCTTCTCACTGAGTTTCTCTCACTGTTCATCTGCATGCAACTTAAAACATTCAAACACTACTGGTGCGTTTGGGATGAGAATGGCTCTTGAGACATGGTCGGGGACTTTGAGACTGCAAAATCAAGTTGTTATTGCTTGTTCCACAACATAGGCTTGGAAAGATTGGGCTCATAGGTTGTCTTTGGATTATTCTGCCAAGGCATAGAAATAGAATTGACCAAAACAATATAAATAATAAACAAAAGAGAGGGGAAACCCGCATTTTTATGTCTACCAATCATATCTAAATAATATATTGGACTTTATGCATTCATCTGCTATATAGTTATAATCTATCATACATGAGGATCATTATAATTTATTTTATTATAATTTGGACATTTTCAACTGCAGTATTCATCTAAAACAACTTCGAGCTGACGGCCCCTATATTGGATAGGTACAGTTCGTGGTAGTGAGCAATGTATATTTATTTTATTACTTGGGCCAAAGTGACTATGTGATGCAGCTAAACCTCATGTTTATTAATGGTTAAAGGGAAGAAAAAAAAAGAACAAAGTGTAAAACAGTGACTGTGTATGAAGGGTAAGAGCAATGATGTTTTGGATACAGAACAATTAATCACCCTAAATACAACTTTGAGTAGGTAATTGAGGGAAAGCATTTATAATATGGTTAAAAGCAGATTTTTGCATTAAAGGGCCTATATTACTCTATTTATTTTTTACATTTACATTTTCTATTGTATGATGTTGTTTCCTCATCACAAGCATATCTGGAGTTGTGTTTTATTTCATTCACACAAACTCTGCATATTTAGGCTTCTGCATATGTAGGCAAAGTTCTACTCTGACTCTCTTCCGCCTTGTTATGTGTGTAAAATCCCTCAGTCGTCCAGGTAGAATTCACGGCAAAAGGAAAAATTCAATTTGTCAACTGGACAAAAGTTTATTTGGTCAAATATGTTTTGCAGATCATCCAAGTTGCTTCTTCAGTTCTGGTTGGAATGCTGGTGAACACTTTCTATCTGCCTGAAGGGAGGAGCTCCACCTTGTAATGTCATGTGCTAATGCAGGAAATATTCCATTGTGTTGTTAAGCTCCATACTCCATGATTCTAGTGAAGCTTCACTAGAACCATTTGGATGATGATTTCTGACCTGGAATTGCTGATCTTTGCTGAACTAACTGTAAAAGGAGCTGTTAACTTGAAAACTACCTCTTCATGACATCACAAGTTGGAACAAAGCATTTTGAGCTTTGGAGATGTAGTCAGACTAATAATAAAGGATAACTCAAATGTGTGAATGAAAGAAAACACAACTTCAGGTATGTTTTTGAGGAGGGAACATTATATAATGACTTAAACCTCACAAAAGTCAATTTGTGTACTATAGGACCTTTTAATGTCTCCTTATTAGTATTTATAATTTTAAAAGAAACCTACTGCAAAGCTATTTTCATTTGGAAATAATAATACTTACCATCAACATATTACTATTTTATATGTATAATAATAACTCCACTTACATATGGGTCCGGTCAAGCGGTAACGGAGGGAAACAGAGGCAGATGTTTTTACATTCAAATAGCTGTTATTCAGAAACTAGAGGGACTATTGAAATAAGTAAAGTATCAGAATGTAAGAAAGAGTTACACTCCAACAGGGTAAAGTTAAACCTGTGATATTCTTTCAAGTTGTTGACAAAAAGTTTAAAAACTCATGTCGGTAACGGAGGGAATGAAATATGCAGCACTTTCTGGGCAATAAATATAAACAGTGATAACTAGCGGTTCTCACTTACATATCCTTAACAAACTGGTTTGAATATTTGCTTCATATAGTTTTCTACCATATGGTACAAGATTAGGTTGAAAAACCTCTTTTTGAGTCATGAGATTTTTAATTAAGAAAGGTCATGGTAACGGAGGGAAAAGTAACGGAGGGAAAATTGTGCAATTTGTCAGCTTTTTTCATCCGAATACTTTAATATTTTATCATTTTAAATAAATAAATAAATCATGTACCTTCATCAACAGTTCAAAGATGGAATAACACAAGATATGATGAAATACATCCATTTATTTACATGATTTGCAGGTCTTTGAAATTTGGGAAATAATTTTTGTTCCATGTTTCATACATGGTCTGTTTAAAACGTATGTAACTTTAGAACCAAAAATGGTACAGAAAAAGGTAAACAGTTTCATAAACTAGAGTACATATGTATCTGTTGAATACATTTTCATATCAGATGCATTAACTTTAATTTTTGGCCTTGCTGTTTACTTCTGCTTGACCAGGCCCATATATATATATATATATATATATATATATATATATATATATATATATATATATATCCTCCAAACTGTGTACTTCTGAACACCACCACTACCTTGAAATATTTCCCTTTTTCTCTCCCTTCCCCATTTCATTTCATTCATTGACTAAAATATCCATTAGCGTATTCCATATCCATGCATGCTGGCTAACCCCCCTCATGTTGCCTGGTGTTGCACGGTGCAGTGTGTCAGTGCATGCAGTTGGGTCAGTTAAATGAATGAGGGTAATGTGAATTAAAGTCCCTGTGCCTCTGATCTCCCTCTTGCTCCCCCTGGATGTGTTTTGTGTACTGTTTAAACTGTACTCCAGCCCTCTACTACTACACCTACTACCTCTGCCCGTCGCTCTACAAAGGTGAGCTAAACTACATGACCCACAGGACCGCTGCTGTAAAATTATTATAAGTTTTAGGGCTACAGGGGTTACATTGAATTTGTAAATGTTTTCTACAAAGAACATGGTCTTATTCTTTGTACAAGCTACTAACTCACACTGAAATATGGAATATTAGTTTGAAGCATTTGAGATTTCAGTCTTCTTAATGGTAATGTACCTTTTCTGGTGTATTGTCTGCCACCTGCTTATCTCCAAGGTGATGTTATTGTTTTTAGTTTAATGTCATACTGTAGAAAGTTCAAGACAATGTAATATCATCTCCTTAGAATCTAGCAGATAGCGGACCCCTCACCAGAAAAGCTATTGTTCCCACTTAGTGGTCTGAACAAGTTTAAATGTGCACTGTGGACTAACTTTTGATTTAAAGGAATTGTATGTAGCCTCTGCTCTGACAGTTTAAAAAAAAAAAAAAAAAAAAAAAAAGATCACAGTCACGATGAACCTGTGCGTCCAGAGTCTTAACCTGCAGATAGAGACACATCCTGCATTTGACTCATTCTCAGTTTATGGACAGGTCATGCCTCATGTGATGCTCAGAGCCTTCAGAATTCACTCCCTGAACTGCAGAGGCTGCACTAGCACTGATTAGGGTTCCCGTGGTTATGAACATCCTGGAAAAGTCATGGAATTTTAGTGTCTCTTTCACACAACTACAGCATTCTGTTAAGTTATCATGAGACTATTATGATTATTTCTGAATATATGTGCCTTTAATTTAAAAGCCACAAGGTACCCTGATCAATTGTACACATGTTGGTGCCCTAAAGTCACTGAAAATTCACTTTAGGTCATGGAAAAATTTTGAAATTTTGTCAGTGCAAAAGAGTGGGAACCCTGACTGATTCATGATTGGTGCAGGCACTGGGGTTTGGGTAGTGACCATTCAGATCAGAGAGAACCATTTTAGGTTTAAACCAACTTGAGACTTGTGTGTGGGTCATTCTGCTTTCTGATTGGATAATCTTCTTGACAACCAAAACCAAATTATAACACAAATTACTTTACCACCAGTGTTTTTGCAATTAAGAGTAAACCAGGATTCGAATTGGTTTCAGTAAAAGCTGTATTTGATTTGAACATGTTTACCTCATATCTGATGATATGTAAAATTTAGGACATTTAAACTCTAAATCTTACATACAGTTCCTTTTATGGTCTGAACAGGCTAAATGTGCACTGTGGACTGATTTATTTATTTTTTTAATGTATGGAGGATTTGTTACTATTTCATAATTTGTCCAAATGTTTATTTTTTTTTAATTCTAAATTATTCAGGGTTTGAATCTAGATGAGAAAAATATTTGGAAGTTCTTTTGGGGATTTTGTGAACTTGAAAGCAGCCATATGTCTTTGTTGATGTACTGGATCTGTACAACTGTGTGTGTGTGTGTTACCCCAGCTGAGCACCTCCCGCCTGGCCCCAGCCTCCTCCCTGCCCTCCCTCCTGGTGCGCCCCACCGCCGGGAGAGCCAGCCTGTCGGTACGCTCCCCTCCAGTCACCGCCGCTCTGGACTCTGTGGATCACTATGCTGTCTTTTTAACATTGTGCTTCTGAACACATAGGGGTAGAATGCAGTGATTAAATACCCCTGCACTTCTCACTGCGGGCTGTTGAACTGGTCTCTTAACGCTACCATTTCTCCTCAAGCTTCAACTACTTCTGTCAAAATTAATCAACGCTGAGCTAAAATGTTTTGAAATCAGAATATTTATCTTGAGGTAATAATTTCACCCCTGAATATCTAAAAAAAAGAGTTCTACATTTTTGATTGTTTAAAAATAAGGTGATGAAAATGCTTAAAAATTGACCTAGTGGCACTGCCTGTTGGTCTCCATGGAGAAAGCTTAGTTTAATGCTTTAACATTCCAGGCAAAGCAATAGCATCTCTATGGAAACAAGACCTGACCACCTGAGAAGTTACATGTTGCACTTTTAAAACATATTTTGAAGGCGCTTCACTAAAAACATGAAAAACAGAACTTGGTTTGCAGTGGTCCAAAGTTCTTCCTCACTTACCTTATGCGTTCTAAGTGACTTGATTACTCACTGCGAGTTTATAAGCACTTTTCACAACTTTCAGAGGTCAAATTGGTAATGCTAACATGCTGCTTATACAATATATCTGTACTTGGGCAAAGTAAAAAGTACTTTATTACATGAAAACTATCAGGGCAAATTTCCACATCTAGATAAATATTCTGATTTCAAGCCTCGTGCAGCCGGTACCAGTGTCCGTGCCCCCTCTCACCCTGTATGTTCCGCAGGCGTCCCGGGAGAGCCTGTCCTCCTCCCACTCGGATATCAGTGAGGCCGCACCGTCCGCCCCTGCACCTGCCGCACCTGCCACACCTGCCACCCCCGCCCCAGCCACCGCCGCTCCGGCCTCTGTACCAGCCACTCCCAGCAAGGTATGTCCTAAGTCTACTGCTCATCCACTGACTGTGAAAGTAAATAAAAATATGCAAGTTGTTTTGTTTCATTCACACATGTTTGATTAGTCTGTCTACATCTCTAAAGCTCAAAATGCTTTGTTCCACCTTGCGATGTCATCAAGCAATAAATTTCAGTTTAACAGCTACTTTTAGTTTTTTACTTAAGTAGAGCTTGGTGATTCCAGGGCTATAAGGTATATGGAATTTAAAATGGTGTGTATGAAACAAAACAAAACTCCAGGTATGTTTTTGATGATGAAACAACATTATAACATTGATTGTATATACTGTATATAGGCCCTTTAAATGTATACATATAATGTCACTCATGGTGTTGCTGTCTGACCAGGTGGAGCCAGCCTTGTCCAAACAGGTAAAGTCAAAGGTCACTGGGATAACAATGAGCTCACTACCTGTCACTTAAAACAGTTGTTGGGTGAATACTCCGGATGCATGGCTTTCGTCACTACTCCCTAGTTAACTGACGGGGGAAGTTGTAATCACTTGGGATTACTCACAGTGGCAGAGTGGTTAGCACTTTTGTCTCAGAGAGAAAGGCTCCTGTGTTTGTATGATTGTTTTTTCTGGTTGGGTTGTGTGGAGGGCATGTTCTCCCTGTACCTGGCTGTTTTAATTCTGGGTGCTTCAGTTTATCCTACTAATATACTAGAAAAGCACTCAGAGAGCGCAGACCTCCGCCAAGGACTACAGTCCTCCTCATATTAATTATGTTTCCATAAATATTTGTCTCGTATCTTTCAATTTGGAATATGAAAGAGGATCCCATTGTCCATCCCTGAGTCAAATTTCATGGGGTTTGGTCAATAATTAACCGAGATATTGAGAAACAAAATTTTTGGCCCCATTTACCACAATGTTAACTAAAATTTCAAAGTGATCCAGAATCCAGGATTTCTTCCGGATCACCCCCAAAATGAAATCAGTTCTTCCTTTTCACATTTCCAATAAATCCTGAAAATTTCATCAAAATCGGTCCATAACATTTTGAGTTATGTTGCTAACAGACAAACAAACAGACAAACGCCGGCAAAAACATAACCTCCTTGGCGGAGGTAATAATAGGGTTCCATGTAAGTAGGACTATGCTGCCGTATGACTTTTGGTAAAAAGATTAGGTTTGATTTGATTTGATTGTGTTACTAAACACAAAGAAAATTGGACATAGAGTACCTCTTGATTTAAGACTCAAGCTTATCATTGACAATTAGAAATAATTTTTCTTGATTCAAATTTGATTAAAAATGTATCTTTGCTTGGAATGTTCAGTACGGCATTAAACATTACTATAGTAGCATTTATTTCATTATGGGTGTTTCTATTGCTCAAAGATAATTAAACTAAGCATACTTGCCTCTCCACAGGTATGATCTGTAACTTGAAATGTTGCACTGTGCACCTTTTAAAAAAAATGAATAAGATAAAATGATAAGATGGAACTGTATACTGTTCTGTATGATTTTTATTTGTTCAAGTCTAACCTCTATGTACAGTTCCTCTAGAATGGAGCTTTTGATTGGATCATACCTTTATACGTCTCTTAGTTATATTAAATCAGACCTATTCTGAAAAAGTTTGCCCAGTGGACAGAATTCTATTTTCTTTTGCTTTTAACACTTATAGTCATATAGGTTATTTGTTCAAGCTTATAAAAAAAACTTAAAATTATTCACATCTGTGATAAATACTGACCCCAAATGAATATCTTATTATGTAACCATGAGACAATATAGTAATTATGATGACAGTCGTACTTGTGTGTATTGCTTGTGTGTAACTGTGTGTGCTTTGTTCAGGAGGAGGAGAGCCTGCGTGCTCAGGTGAAGGACCTGGAGGAGAAGCTGGAGACTTTGAGGATGAAGAGGAGCGAGGACAAGGCCAAACTCAAAGAGCTGGAGAAGCACAAAATCCAACTGGAGCAGCTCCAGGAGTGGAAGAGCAAAATGCAGGAGCAGCAGAGTGAGCTGCAGAGACAGCTCAAGGAGGCCAAGAGGGTATGTACATATATTCACTAAATCCACCATCGACTTATTGTAGCTTTCTACCATTGCTATTCCCAAAAGCATGAAAAGACATTTTAGATGTCATTCATGCATGTCTCAATAATCTTGCAATCTCTCATGAGCCTTATTCAAACCCTCATTACAGTTAGCTGTAAGATTCTGTAAAATACTCCACCCACAAGCCTACATCCCCCATGCTCCCACACGTTAATTCTACATAAATACACAAAAACATGATATAAACTATACACAACAATTTGACAAACTCGATGTGATGTGCAGTAGTTTCGTTAGTGGGATGCACACTGATTATGTTGTTATAGCACTCTGAATATAATATAAATATGTTATATGTTAGCAGTTAATACCCCAGAGAAGTAAAATACCCCCTTTTTTAAACTTAAAAAAATCTTCTCAGCATGTAAATTGTCCCTGAATTTTGGATGGAATATTCAGTGTTTATGTCATAGATATGGGTATTCCATTTAAGAACTCACTTCTACTGTTTCTTTTCTCCACAAACTGCCACATGTAACTAACCAAACCAAGTCAGAATTGGGATAATAAAAAAAAAAAACAATTCTCTTCAGTTATTAACAGCCAAAACTCTGGGCTCTCTCCCTGTCTGTGTGTGACACCAGGAAGCACGTGAGGCTCAGGAGGCAAAAGACCGCTACATGGAGGAGATGTCGGACACTGCAGACGCTATAGAGATGGCCACTCTGGACAAGGAGATGGCTGAGGAGCGGGCCGAGTCTCTGCAAGTGGAGGTGGACACGCTCAAGGAGAAAGTGGAGGAACTGTCCATGGACCTGGAGATCCTGCGTCACGAGATCTCAGAGAAAGGTCTGTCTCATTCACGAGAAAGTCAGAATAAGAATAACATCATATTAGGGCCGCAACAAATTATCAGCTAATCATGACTAGATGACTGTAAATAATAATGGCAGTTGTATTTTGATAATCATAATAGTTATCTGGACCATACCGACTTTAAAACACAGGTGAAAGACCTTTTTATAGCAAAAACACTTATAAAATACACTTTATTTTATATCTCAACCTTTATTTGGTTCATAATGTATATACAAATGTACAATAGATATAATAATTTAACAACTTGAAAAATGAATTGCTGACCAGTCAACTACTAAAATATTCAGTATATGCAGCTCTACTCACAATAATGCTTAATTTGTGCTCCAGGGTCAGATGGAGCTGCGTCCAGTTACCACGTCAAACAGCTGGAGGAACAGAATTCACGGCTGAAGGAGGCTCTGGTCAGGTCAGTCTCCAAGCTCATCAAAAGCTCTGCTCTGCTTTCCGTGAGTTCTTCTCTTGACATTTTCATATCAAATAAGGTTAAGAAAGTTCATACATATAAATTATTAGTTTTTATGATAAATGGTCACATTTCTATAGCACCTTTCCACCTTCAAGGCACTCAAAGCACTTTACATCAAGGAACCACTCACCTATTCATACACCAGTGTACGCAGACACTGGAGGCGAGAGGGGTTAAGTGCCTTGCCCAAAGACAATAAAGACAACATTCATCTGTGAGAGCAGGATTTGAACTGCCAATCTTTGGACCTGTTGTCCCAGCATTTCAGTTGGTAGCACATGTCAGGAGCATTTACAAAGGACCAATACATACAGTAAAACAAAAAAATTAAAGTGAATTAAAGTGCAAGAGTCTTTTACAGATTTAAAGTGAGATCATTAGTAAACTGTTGCAGAACATTGCAATATTAAGTACAATATTATGATCATATATTTACATCAACACTTTAAAAGGCACAAGCATTGACTAATGGAATCATGTTGTCTTTTAGGTGGAAAAAGAATGAAATGAGCTAAAAGGAACCAAATGTAAATTGTGGCAAAACCATTTCTGCTTTTGGCCATCAAACTCCTGCTAAGATTTAGCAAATTTTCTGCACTACTTTTCACTTTGAACCACAGACTCTATATATAAATTGACAAAGCTAAGGTGCTAGCCGCCGCATTCCAAATAGGTGGTAGCATCCAGCTCTTTCTACTGACCCTGGCTCCCATTCACTTACATAGGAATACTGTCGTCCCTCCGGTCTGTGACCGCTGCTGTGAGCCTCCTCATTTTAGTCTAAGCTGTTTGTATTAACCTGCTCTACATGTCCCTGTTTTTTGTTGGGTTTTTTTTTTTGTTTTTTTTTCATCAAAAAATCCTTTTCATAATATAGAGCCTGGCTCCAAATACTTCATTTGAGTGGCACTGAATGCTATGGGTGGCATCACACTCACTTAGTTCACCAGTCTATGTTTTGTACATATGCTTTTTTATATACGCTTAATATGTATTATCGTTTCAATTCTGTAAACCGTATTTTCTCTTCTGGTTGGATGCATGTCTCTGCAATAGAATTCCCCCTGAGCATAAATGAATCCTGGTTTCAGAAATATGGTGCTGAGGCAGTATCAAAGTGCATTTAAGTGTATAAGATTTTTTTTTTTTCTCATTTGGAGGATTTTCTAAAAAGTATGTAGGAGTAGTGTTGTGCAGAGGTAGTTCTTATGAATTGATGCCAGTGTGACAATGCGTGTTTGTGTGTGTTCAGGATGCGAGACCTGTCTGCCTCAGAGAAGCAGGAGCACGTGAAGCTGCAGAAGCAGATGGAGAAGAAGAATAGTGAGCTGGAGACGTTCAGAGCCCAGAAGGACAAACTGAGCGAGGAGCTAAAGCAAGCTGAGGCCACCATCGACGAGCTCAAAGAACAGGTACCATAGCACACGCAGGTTCTACTGGTGTATGTGAAGGTCAGGTTTAAACACATGCCTGTGTGCAGGTGGATGCAGCGCTGGGTTCAGAGGAGATGGTGGAGACCCTGACTGAGAGGAACCTGGACCTGGAGGAGAAAGTGCGAGAGCTGAGGGAGACTGTCACAGACCTGGTGAGTAAACACACACCAAAAATCACATTGAATTACAGAGATTATGCAGAACATTATATGAGCTTCAGTGTTAAATAATGACATTTTCTTTTGTAAAAGCTCAACTCTAAAATGTGAAAGAGTTGCTATAGTTTAATAACAAATATAAAAGTTTAAAAAAAGTATAAAAACACACACACCACTGATACAGACATATGTTCAGTTCAGCTGTGTATGACCGATTCTGATGAACCACTGATGAATTTTGCATTTTTCCCCGTCTGTGCAGGAAGCCATCAACGAGATGAACGACGAGCTGCAGGAGAACGCTCGTGAGACGGAGATGGAGCTGAGGGAGCAGCTGGACTTGAACGTGTCCAAGGTGCGAGAGGCCGATAAGAGGGTGGAGGCCGCCCAGGAGACTGTGGCCGACTACCAGCACACCATCACCAAGTACAGGGAGCTGACCGCGCAGTTGCAGGTAACAGAGCGCTCACAGGGTCAGCGGCTTAATTTGACCTGTGTGATGAGATATCAATCGGCTGTGTTTGCGCTCTACTATTAAAGCAGATATTTTGTTTATGGATTTGGCTTTTTGAACACACTAATATTGGAATGGAAGAAAAAGTATGGTTGTATGTTTACAAAAATCAGATGAATGTTATTTTTACAAAAGAGAAACATGAATTTGTGAACTTTACTACAAATTTGTTGATATGGATTTCAAAATTGTAATATTTGTATCGGCAAATTATTACACAGTGCAGCAAAACAAAATCTGTATTTAACCATCCCTATGAGAATGTTATAGCATCACATAAACACAGTGTATTACAAACTATAAAGGTGTGAATGCCTTGTAAAAAAAAAAAATTTATTGTCATTCTTCTTCAGGAGGCTAACCGAGAGCTGGTCAGTCAGCAGAGCGCCAATGCAGAGCAGGTGCAGCAGCCGCCCACAGAGCTCTTCGATTTCAAGATCAAGTTTGCAGAGACCAAGGCCTATGCAAAGGTAAGAGGCAAGGGTTAGATGCATAGAGGGTTTGGATCTATGGTGGCAGAAGAATTTTGAAAATAACGATGATAATAATAAAAGGGGCAAATAATTGCTCAAGTAAAAGTATCACAAAAAATACACTTCTTAAAGGACTGTAAAGTAAAAAGTAATGTGGTTTTTAAAGTAAAACTATGTCTCTCATCTTACAAAACTATTACATGGTCAAAAGTAGAAATCCTATTTGCTCAAAGCTGGGACTTGAACTCAAAAGCTTAAGGCAAGAAATCACTGTGAATTAGTCAAAAAATAAACTCCTCTATCATTTAAGAACTTCTACTTTTCCATCCAGTTAAAAGTAGCCACAGTAAAATGTACTTAAGTTAAGTACAGATAAATGTACTTGTTACAGTACTTTTATGCACTAGTTTGCATTCAGAGTATTTGGAATAATATGTGTATGTGCTGTGTGCAGGCCATAGAGATGGAGCTGAGGAAGATGGAGGTGTCTCAGCTGAACAGACAGGTAGTGCTTCTCACCTCCTTCATGCCTGACTCGTTTGTGCGTCACGGAGGAGACCACGACTGCATCCTGGTGCTGCTGCTCATCCCCCGCCTCATCTGTAAGGTACGGACACTTGGAGACTGCTGTGGGACCAGCCACTATGGCACGTGAACTGCAGATATGTGCAACCTGATTTGTTAACACCTGTGCAGGATTTGACAAAGAAAAATTATATAAAAAAGGACAACTAATGCTGTAGACAAGTATGAAAGAAAACATGTTGAAGATTGAAGTTATTCTCTTCCAAGTCCCGCCATATACAAAGACCAGGAAAGCTATATTGATTTACAAAATACAATTCTTGCATCACAACTCAAATGTCTCACAAAGATTTAAAAAAAAATTACCAACAATAACAGACATGCATGAAACACAACAGAATAAATTGCAGTTCATGATGCAAAAATAATAAACACATACAAATCGATCACAATTGTGAATGATGCAAATCACCTTGCACACAATCTGTTCAGCCTCATGCCCTCCGGGAGGAATGTACAGGAGCCTCAGACTCACTAACAGCTTCATCCACCAGGCTGTTAGGATGCTGAACTCTCTAACGTCTCTAACCACCAGGTGGCCAGCAGTGAGCAGAAGCAAGAATCTGCTTCTGCTCACAGAACACTAGGATTTTTCCATATATTATTATTTATTTATACACACAATTTTATTTCCTCATGTGTTGACAATAAACTTTTTTTTTTTTTTTTTTTTTTGAATTTTTGAATTTGAATTTGAAAATGCAATAAATACTTAAAATAAAACTATTCAAATATAAACCCCAAAATCCCCTGATCATCTGTGATGAGAAGGAGCAGATCATGTTCCAGAGAGAGATGGTGGTAACGTGAGCAGGGCCCTAATGTTCTTAATGCTGCTGCTCAAAACATTAGCGTTGTATTCTCATGACTTATATTTTGTGTGTGTGTCCTGTGCAGGCGGAGCTGATCAGTAAACAGGCTCAGGAGAAGTTTGATCTGAATGGGCCCCTAGTGCAGGGCCCGACGCTCAGGGGCCCTCCAGGAGAGCAGCGCAGCTTTGCCTCTGGTCTGGTGTACTCTCTGAGCTTGCTGCAGGCCACACTGCACCGTTACGAACAGTAAGTAATTACACATGTATAGTAGTCAACTAAAGACATTTTCTGTTTATCGATTTGTCAATTAAAAAGGGGGCGTGGCAAAAGCCCATTAAAACCATTCCGCCTCTCTGTGTATCTGATCCAAACTCCACTCACAAGATTACACCTGTAGGAGGAGCCCATACAAAAAAAGTACTTGGAAACTATATATTTATATGAAGGCAGATTCAATTTGTGAATCCTGAGTTTAATCTGACTTTCTACTATGAATACCAAAAAGTACCAAATCTTCAGCTCACTCTCTCACTTCTACTTTCTGCCACTATCTTATAGAAACATATAATCTAAATAAACTTAGAATCTAAATAAATTGATTAATTGATGATTACAAATTTAGTTTGACAAGATTTTTTCCTTATTATGTAGTTGACCAATATGATAACATGTGCATTATACATTGTCATATTATTTACAACGCGAACAAATAGGGGTGGGTTAATATAAGTTTTTCTTCTTCCCATTCTCTTTTTGATTAATGTGCTTTTCTCTTGTTTACAGTGTGTGTGTAGTATGTATATCTCTTGGCACAAACTCAAAATAAAAACAGATAGATCAATCAATCAATCAATCAAACAACCCAATAGTTTTAAGAGCTTTTGTCACACTCCTAGTGGCTGTATATGTGTGTGTGTCATGAGGACTGAACTTGAGGCTGTGACTGTGTGCAGGGCCCTGGGCTCCTGCTCGGTGGAGGTGTTCAAGCGCATGGGCACGCTCTACTCAGAGATGAGCTTCCATGAACGTTCTCTGGACTACTTCATCGACCTGCTACACCGAGACCAGCTGGACGAGACCGTGCAGGTTGAGCCCCTCACTAAGGCCATCAAGTACTACCAGGTACCTCCACACACAGCCATGTGCAATCATCTGCATTCTAAAGCCCGCCACAGACTACAGGATTTTAAAGTTACCACTTTACATGAGCCGCGTCATAAAGTCGCCTCATTATTTTCACTGTTTATTTAGTTTGTATCTGGTGCTTCTGTGTCTCTCTGACACCGCACACAAGTAGCACCCTCACATGAGGAGAATAGCAGATTCAAAATCACACACAAGGATCTATAGTCGGGTCACACCTCCCTGAAGTTGGGGAGAAACATATCATAGCCTAAATCGAGCTGATGATCCAGTAGTGTGTTCTGATGGAATCTTTATATTTTCACTTTTCTCTTTTGTAACTTTAAGCTTTCATTCATCTAATACTATTAGCACACAGGATATGTGTGGGTTTTAGGTGAACAAAAAAGGAAGTAGATAATGGTCGTTTAAAACTCTTTTATAATTTTTTTTTTTTCTTGTCTTTCAGCAACTGTACAGCGTGCACCTGTCTGAGCTGAGTGAGGACTGCACGGTGCAGCTGTCCGACCACATAAAGGTATTTTAGTGTCAGCTGCTCCCCCAGCTGTTCCTCCCTCCTCTTACCCTCTCACCCTCTCACCCTCTCACCCTCTGTGTGTGTGTGTGCGCGCGCGCACGTGCACAGTTCACAGGCAGCGCTCTGGACTGCATGGCGGTGGAAGTGGCCCGTCTCAGGGCCTTCCTCTCCGGGGGACAGGAGAGCTCGGGGCTGGCTGTGCTGCTCAAAGATCTGGACACATCCTGCTCTGACATCAGGCAGTTCTGTAAGAAGATCCGCAGACGCATGCCTGGAGCTGATGTCCCGGGAGTCCCAGCGGCCCTCAGCTTTGGACCACAGGTATGTCATATCACTGCACTGTACTGAGATCAATGTGAGGCACTCACCATCACACTTTTATCACATCTGTCACTACAGTCACTACATGTTTCTGGTTTAAAGTACCTTTTTACTGCTGAATATACCCATTTGCAAGTGGACATTTTTGTAGACCTTATATTTAAGAATGACTTTAAAATAAAGACTCCATCAGTGCCTGAGTCCTGACTGTGTGGCAGGTGTCGGACACCCTGACGGAGTGCAGGCGTCAGCTGAGCCGGGTGCTGGCTGTGCTGCAGGAGGTGGCCGCAGCTGGAGCTCAGGTCATGGCTCCTCTGGTAGAGAATGAGGGTCTGAGCGCTGGTAAACTGGAAGACTTCCTCATCAAGGCTGTGGAGCAGGTGGGGAGCATGCTTCAGACAGGAGCAGACAGACATAGTTACTGATATGTTCTGGTCCTCATGGTATACATCTCTGTGCAGATCTATGGGTCTCAGGGTTTGAATCCCAGTGAGTGTCTGCAGCAGTCCTGCACCTCCGTCATCACCACCATGAACAAGATGGCCACCGCCATGCAGGAGGGCGAGTACGACGCCGACCGGCCCGCTGCCAAGGTCAGCTCTCCTTTATCGTGTTCATTTGAAATACAGACATCTTTGTTTTCTTGAACCCAGTCTTTTTTATATTAGCTGTGGTGATCATTCTCTCATATATTGGAATAGTTCCAAAAGTAAATCTTTTCTTCATGTGTTCCCATCTCTAACACGCTGCTGTGTCCCTGTGCGTCAGACTCCTCCGGTAGAGGTCCGTGCAGCCACAGTCCGAGCTGAGATGACCGATGCAGAGGGGCTGGGTGTTAAACTGGAGGACAGAGAGACCGTCATCAAAGAGCTCAAGAAGTCCCTCAAGATCAAGGCAAGTCCACCTCCTTAAAGCAGCTCATATTCAAAAAGAGAATCAACTCACGACTGGGCGAGGAACATCAAAGGTTATAAAGTAGCTATGCTTCTTTGAATCCCAGATGACACCAGAGGGTGGTGCTGGAAGAATGTGCAAAGGGCACCGGCTTCTGGAAGCCAGTAGGGATATACATAGAGCTATACATAATGCCAATGCCAATCTGTGCCATTTTGACAACAAATTAGAATCTGGTCTTTGGACTAAAATGTTTTTTAGTTCAGATTTACTCAAATACATGTTTTTTGTTTTAGACTTAAGGCTCATTTAGTCAAGTAAATCCTTAATAGTTTTAGTACCAGGAAAACAGAAAATATATTTTTGTATGTATTTGGATATTGAGTTTGTCTTTAGTCTTACTTCACATGTAAGTTTTTATAAATAATGAAAAGAACGAATGTGAACTTTTATGTACCAAATGATCTGTTTATATCATTGATTAAGTCATTATGATTGCTTTTTATTTAGTTTTAGTCAGCATATATATGACATTGAAGGAAACAGTGATGAAAATTGATATGCTGATGAAATGAACACAGCCACCAAGTTACACAACACACTGACGCAGTGGTAAGACGTCTTCACTGTGATGGTCTGACGTTCCTTTGTGTCCAGGGCGAGGAGCTGAGCGAGGCTAACGTTCGCCTGAGCCTCCTGGAAAAGAAGCTGGATACTTCCACCAAAGACGCAGATGAGAGAGTGGAAAAGATCCAGACCAAACTGGATGAGAACATCGCTCTGCTGAAGAAAAAAGAGAAGTCAGAACCACTACTCCAATACAAAAACAATAATATAATTCAAACAAAAACAGTGAGGTGTAACTTGAAAATAATTAACCAAAGCCCCATTCACACAAAGTTTCCACACAGGCACCAGTCTCCGATTTTTGCCAGGTCTGCTCTGTTCACACATAACCTGCATATGGCTCTGCTCTCTCACATATATACAGTCTGTGTCAGTACGGCCACGGTCTGGTGTGCAGGGTGTCTCTCCATTCGAGTTCGTTGGAAACACAACATTTTCTCTTTTAAGATGTTTCCTGAAAGTCCTAAAACATAATAAAACTCCACATTTACTCTTGTAGTCATAGAGGAGTGGACAGAAACAGAGAGCAGTTCCTTCCCGTCATTAAACTAAACAGCTTGTTTTGCCCCACAGAAGTTTCAGTGGGCGTTCCCTCATAAGACGACTGTATCTGTTAAGTGTGATGTTACTTCCTGGTGCAGGATGCATCAGCTGAATGAAAACAATGGACATGTTTACAGTCTACTACAAATTTGATAGGTTCTTTTTAAAGACAATACAGTAAAGTGTATTTACCTTGTTGACATGTTTCGGCTGCTGCTGCGAGCCATCTTCAGAACTGTCACTGGTGTTGGTGTTGACGTGTCGTATATCAGCTGTTGTTACTTCCTGTAGGCGTGGTCAGTCTGATGGACCTGCAGGTCGCTCAGACTGACCACGCCTTCCGTCACCCGGTGTTCTCTGGAGGAGGGTGTCCCAGGTGTGTGAAAGGAGGAACGCTCCCTCATCATGGTTAATGCTGTCCGTGCCTCGTTTCCTGATTTCAATGACCTCCTTGATCCAGCGTTTGAACTTGTTGTTTTCCCACACGTCACCACCAACACCGGTAACAGTTCTGAAGATGGCTTGCAGCTAGCAGCTGAAACATGTCAACAAGGTAAATATACTTTACTGCATTGTCTGTAAAAAGAACCTAAGAAGTTAAAGTATATAAGAAGATAAAATCATTGGCCTAAATTTGATAGGATTTGTGCTTAAAGGGAAAGGAACTGCTTCTTATTTGATGAATAAGAAATACTGCACTGAAAGTTGTGAAGTTGCTAGTTGGCCTGGAAGTGAAATCATCATTTAAATACATCTGAGAATTTTGGTTTTAAAACGATGTACCCAGAGCTTCTTTACACATCTTTACATATCCTCACATTATTTGCAAGAATTGAGTGCCATGTGTCATTTTAAGCGGTGCCCTCCCCTCACTCTGCTCTCTACACTTCCTGTCCTGTTCTCAGGGAGTTCGAGGAGACCATGGACGCTCTGCAGGCTGACATCGACCAGCTGGAGGCGGAGAAGACAGAGCTGAAGCAGAGGCTGAATAACCAGTCCAAGATGACCATCGAGGGCCTGCGCGGAGGGCCCACAGCGGGCATCGCCTCCATCGTACAGGGCTCTGCTGCTGGTCAGTGCGGGCTGGTCTCATAAGTCTCGTTTCCACAGGTTCACTTTGGAATGGATCAGTACGGTATGAGTGTCTCCACTGTCTAAAGCCATCCGTACGGCCCTGTGTGAGGGCTCCAAAGAGGGTGCTGAGGTGGTATGGCTCCAGGCATAGAACGCAGAGTCAGGCAAAAACAAGACGACAAAAAGATGATATAAACATTAAATTATAATCTTTCTTAAGCTTGTAATAAACCGCTTTATTTCCAGTGATGTGGCTGTATGCATCTTAGATGAGCCAAACCCACTGTAGCACATAAAGAGAGGTTAAAATGTGGTGTAGAGGTGCAGAGAAATGAAATGAATGCAGAAAAAACTGACACAAACAGGGAGTAACTTAGTGTTTACACTTTAGCCTTGTCTCACTGCTCCACAAACTCGGAATTACTAAACATATTCTTGTGAATCGCTGAGCTCGGTCTTATGATTAAAAGTATAATTTAGATATGATTTAGTTTGTATGTATTAAGAAAATATTTGTGGTGTTTGGGGGACATCAGGGTCTCGTGTAGCTGAACTCTGCCCCTGGAAAACAACTGTGCTGTTGCTCCACAACAAGCAAACCATGCCAGTGGAAAAGAGGCTCTAGTGTGGTGATTGTGAATGTGGTGGTTGGTGTGTAGACCTGACTGTGTGCTCCTGTCCCAGGCATGTCTCCAGCTCTGTCCGGGCCCGTGCAGGTGGTGGACTCTCCTCTCCTCAGGCAGCAGGTGGAGGTTCAGAGACTCGGCATCAAGCACCTCAAGAATGAGAACAACAGACTCAAGGTATAATGCAAACCAAACAATGTTCTACAATGTGATGATGACATAATTTCAGACAGAGTGCAGGGGTCTGTGTATCTCAATGGGAGATTCACCTGAACAATCCAAACTTATGCTTCACTTCTCATTATTTGTTTGGGATAGACTCCACACATTTCCCATATTACTGCTGGCGTCAAGTTCAACAATCACGTCTTTTGTGTGTATAATGGCACCACTTTCGGAAGCTATTCTAAGACTTGTAATTTAATTGTTAAAGCTTTCTTACATTTTTCAGTGAATTTACAGCAAAGCTAATAGCAACTAGCATGTTACAAACCCACCTCCTGGTTATCGGACACAGCAGAGCTTAAGAGCTGTTTATACTGTACACTATATCTGTACTGGTCCAAAATGCATTTGCTTAAACACATGGGGAAAATCAGGTACAAGTACCTTTAACTCTGCAATTGTTGATTTTGTTTGTGTTGTGCTGACCAGGCAGAGAGGATGCGGGCACAGCTGGCGTCTCTGCCCCCTCTGGTGCCCCCGAAGCTCCCAGTGATGTCCAGAGAGCCCTCCACACCACCAGGGGGCCTCAGCACGGGCATCTACCGGCGCACGGACCAGCTGCTGTCCACTTTGCTTAAGCTCAGTGCGGAGATGAGGGTGGTGGACGTGACCGGCAAGACCTCTGGTATGAACCACTGTCATGTCCCCTGTGTCTTATGTCCTTGTCTCATGTTCTCTATCCTTTGTCCTCTATCTCACGTCCATGTTCCTTGTCTCATGTCCCATGTCTCATGTCCCATGTCTCATGTCCCTAACCTGTGTCCTTGTGTGTCCTCACAGTGAGTGCCAGTGCTCAGCTCCTGGAGCAGACGGCTCGACTGCAGAACCTTAGCGATGCTCTGGACAAACTCAAGGTACCGGTCCTGTGTCCGTGGCCTGGTCCACGGCTCTGTCCATACATGGGACACTCACATGCTGTCATAGGACAGGCTCAATTTCATCTTTGAGAAAAGTCATATTCCCCTTTATTGTGGCTTCAAGTTCTACTTGAACCTCAGCCACATTTACAGGCATAGGTCTGGTGGATCTCCATAATGCCTGAATATTTCATTATTGTGACGGTATTATGACAATCCAACCGAAATGTGCTAAACAAACAATACAACTCTCAGACCATTATGAAATGACTAAAATGACACAGAAAACTGAAGACATTTCAGTGTTATACCCTTTTATACACTTCTTTTGGAAGTTTGTACCTTTCAGCTTTTGAGTGCAATTAAAATAAAAAACACATTCACAATATATCAGTATTTGGATCATGTGCTCACCTCTCATCAGCTTTCTCTCATCTCTACATTAATGCTTTCTATCACCTTTATTACAGTTGCAGTTCTTATAGAAATGTAAATACATAATCTGCTAAAAGCGAATAGAGTGTTATTGTAAGGTCCCTCATTCCCCTGAGCTCTGTGTTCCACTAAATCAAATCACACTGAAGAGGAGCACACACACCACAGGAAGAGTGTGTGTGGCTGCACATGTTTAACAGCTCCTGTGTTTCTGTGCTGTTTCAGGGAGAGGTGTCAGAGCACGTTGTCTCCCAGAGACCTGGAGCCAAGGCAAACTCTGACTTTGCAACATTCCCGCGCTCCTCATTCGTCAAGGTAACTACTAGTGTATCACCTTTAACATGCATATGGCAGGTTAGACGGCTGATTTAACTAAAACACAGTTAACATCAAATCGAAGTATTACTAAAAACTATTAGTTATTTTACTTCCTGGTTGGACAAGTGTAGCAGGTATAATAGGCTATAATTAGACTAATACTAATAAACTATAACACCTTTTATTTTGACACTTGAGAATCTGGCTTATTATTGAGTGAACGTTGGCATTCTTCTGTTGATCTTGTGCTTCGTTTGTTTCAGGCTAAAGAGGAGGGACAGGAGGGCACGGTGCTGGTGGGCCGGGTGCAAATCCCCTGCTCCAGAGGTCAAGAGCAGGTGCACAGGGTGGTCCTGAACCAGGGACAGCTACGACAGGTGCACCACCTGCTCAGCACCTGAACACTACAGCAGCAATAACTATTTAACATAGAATATAGACCAATGCCAATGAAGTGTAGAGTGTGTAGCACTTGCAATGTTTGTCAGTCTATTCTACACAGTGTCATGTATGAGACCAGATCTTTTGCAGATGATTCCACTTTGTATTAGATTAAAAATAAAGCTTGAATATATATATATAATGGCTGTCAAGTCTTTTTTTTTTAATCAACTCTCTGGATTGGGGCTTATTTTGGGTTGTCAGGTTCAAAAGTGAAATCCAGTTGGTTTAAACCTAAAATGCATCTCTCTAATCTGAATGGTCAATACCTAAACTCCAGCACCTGTAGCTGCAGATCTTATATTACACAATCGTTTTCTTTGGACAGATCCACATCAGACCTCCAAGTGGTCCAAATCTCCCAAAGTCCTCACATCCTCCACACTCCACTTGGTTTGGCTCTTCTACCCAGGATGCACCTGTGGATCCTTGGCCACCTTGGAGCACTTGAAATTGCCCAAATAAATAAATTAAATAAATGGCATTGCAACTTCATTTTATAATGATATATTTAAGCATTAAAATTCATTATAATCAAATAAAACTCATTCTACAATAGAGATGCGCGGATTGCGGTTACAACCGCGGTATCCGCGGTTAATCCGCGGGTCGGGCGGATGACGTGACGAAAAATTATATTTTAATTAAATTCGGGCGGGTGGCGGTTTAACTACTAAAAAAAAAAGTTCTTGTTAGTATTGTTACCTACATCTGAAAAGACGAGTGTCATTGTCTGTGCTTGTAGTATGAAGTGTACGTCATATCCTTAACTAGCCCATTTGACCTTGTTTTTATGTTCTGAAGGTTAAGGTTGTGTCGGGTTATTGATGCCTAAGGTTTACGAGGCACATATTATATGCAGTTTATTTTATTTTCTAATTTATTTCAGCTGTTTGCCAACACGTAAGTGGCTATAGGGCCATATTTATTTAGTTATGCTTTTTTTTTTTTTTTTTGATATCAGATATATTTTAAAACACGCAGACATTATAGCGTCGACTGCCACTCGGGGTATTTAAAACTTAAAGAAAGACCGATGGAGTGAGGCTATGACTTCGAAACAACATCGGGCAATGGCAGAATGTTCAGAATGTAACAACATCCAACACGAAGGCAAGAAGGTTCAAAAACAGCCTAGTCGGAAAACGTTGTCACTTAATTAGCTGCGCAAGAAAACCAGGTAAGTCTGGGGTTGTTACGGACAATTAAGAATGTGAACATACACGCTGAGCCAATTTTGGAATGAATGAGCTATAGAGTTTGCATTTTTATCGAGGCTCCTTAGTTTGTTTGCTGTATGATTGTTCTAAAATCTAAAATCAATCGGCGGATGGCGGCGGGTGCGGTTTTGAAAACCTTCGGTGCAAAATGGACAGCGGGCGGATGATGAGTTTTGTGTCGCGGTTGCGGATGAAAAAATAGCCCATCCGCGCATCTCTACTCTACAATAAAAATAAAGTGAATATTTGTTATTTTAGTCACATTGCTGCAGATCACACTATTCAATGCGATCAATTAATTTAAATCAGGACAAATGCAGCAAAGACTCTGAAAGGGGAATATAATTAGCCTATCATCTGAAAATGTTTCAGCCTGTGTATTTATTTCTGTAGGCTAATGATCAGCCTCAACAAATTTAACTCTGCCTTTATTATCACGTTTAATGCATGTGACACATAACACCTCTGAACACTTCATATTTGTAGAAGCATTCATGTTTATTAAAACTCTTTTATGTTAGTTTTATGGCATTTGATCTGGTCACATGACACGGTGCAGTCACTCCCTCCAGAGTCTCTCCTACAAGCTGTGAGCAGGACACTTGGCTCTGCTTCAGAGGAGCCGACTCCAGAGGAGTGCTACACACTGGTCTTTGGAGAAAGGATCTCCAAAGCTCAAAATGCTCTGCTCCACCTTGTGATGTCATTTAGTGGCAGTTTTCATATTAATAGCTACATTTTAACTTTAGTTCAGTAGAGACTGCCAGTTCAAGGTGTATGGTGTTTTTATTATAGATCCCTGGACTAAAAACATAGTGGAGCACTTCCTGTATTACCTTGACATCACAAGGTGAAACTTTTGTTTGAGAGAAGAAATCAGCCTAAATATGCAGGTTTGTGTGAATGAAACAAAACACAACTCTAGGTCTGTTTGTGATGTGGAAACTACATTAGAACATAGATCAGAAAATATGTCGCTTTAAGGCACTGGGTCCTCGTGGTCACATACTCTACATACAGTTCATTTAGCAAAAGTCCAGTTTCCTTCCCCATTAAAAATACCCAAGCTGACCACTGACCATTAGAAATGACCAATCCAGGTCTTAATTCAAATTTGCTTCAATGCACAGCCCTACTACAGTGTACTATCTCAATAAAGACATTTCATTTCTGTAGAGAATCCATCCATACTCAGCAAGTCTTAGAACATGTTTAATAAAAGGTTAAAGACAGGTAAAATACAACAAGGTTGAAACAAACTCTTTACACCAAATAAAAAAGGTAAAACAACATGCAACTAAAACAACTGCACAGAGAAGGACATAATGTAGGCATGGTGCTTCCCTTCAGTCTGTGTATGGCAGAACAGATGAACTGTCAGTAGTAGTGTGCAGTATCAGTAGCAGAGTACATGCGGTCTAGATAGTAGTGTCAGTACACACAGTCTCAGTAGTAGTAGTAGTAGTAGATCAGCGTAAAGGCAGTCTCAGTATTGGTCCCGGGTGCAGTGTTGGATGAAGTGCTGTGGGTGCTGTGGGTGCTGTGGGTGCTGTGGGTGCTGGGGGTGCTGGTAGCTGTAGGGGGTGCGGTGGTGGCGTTTGCGGCTTCTCATGATGTACTGCGGTCTCTTCTCCAGAGTCTCAGTTCTGACACTGGGCCTGGACCAGTCTGTAACACACACACATACACAGTTAGCTTTTTTAAAACCACTGGAGTATTGCTGAGATCTCTGCCCAATAAGGGGAATGAGCAGTGCGCAGGGTTTCACCATTATAGTTATACATTTAGGCTTATTTCTGTATTCACAATGAAAAATTTGGACTGTCACCACAGCAATTAAGACATAACTGTGCTTGTGTGTGCTCTATAGTTAGAATCTGTAACACTCATGGATCATTACATATACGTCATTACATTAAATTGCAATATTCATCTAATGACTTAATAAAAGAAACAGGTCCCCAGACTTCTGCGTTAGAGATCTGTGTTGTCACTGTAAACGCCAACACAACAATGCTGTGGGCTCCTACTATGGATAGCTGCACATCATAGCAGATGTTTTTGCCCCTTTGTACCAAAATGACTGATGCTGCCAAAGCCTACACATATCACAGATTAAGAAAATAATACTAGAGACTGAAGTAAGTCCAAAGCAGCGGGCATGTACTGGTAGCGATGAAAATGGGGGTAGATTGGAAAATAGTGTCTTGAATACAAGAGAATAAAGATCTCAGACATGTACAAATCACAAATACAACTTCAAGAGGGTCAATGAGAAGGGGAACAACTATAACATGATTAAAAGCTCTGAAAAGTCCAGTTTGCAGAATAAAATTCCTTATACCATTTACATTTAGAAAGTAAATCATTTGAACAATAAAAAGTCTTCAAAATGTCTGCTACAACTGGAAGCAGACACCTGTGGATGGATCCCACTGAAATCAGATGTTGAAAGACAGGTGCTAGCAAAAATCCTACAGTACCTGTGTGTGTGCCGTCACTGCTCCTGCTGCTGTGGTGTGTCAGTAGACGGGGCGGTTGAACTTTGAGCAAGTAATGTGGCTCTTTAAAACTCAAGAGGCCCTGAGGCAGAGAGTTACTGCAAAAGTCCTCCCTGCTGTACAGAGCAGCACCCCCTTTGGGCAATGCTGGCAATGCTGGCAGTGCTGGCAGTGCGGGCAGTGCGGACAGTGCGGGCAGTGCGGGCAGTGCGGGCAGTGGAAGCAGCCCACCTCCTCCTGCAACAACAGTGTACCAGAGTCACAGAACTGTCAGCTTTCTTTTACCAGAGCAGGTACAAAATCTCTGCATTACAACTCTGGAAAACTGGATACACAGTCAGCCTAAAATGACATCGTCTGCACTGCAAAAATTAACTTGATTCTGGTAATAAATGCAGACGTGTTGGTACCCCTCTGGCAATGAAAGGAAAATCAACAATTGCCACTGAAATAACTTGAAAGTGATAAAAGCAATAATAAATAAAAATGTACTGAAAATTGTCCAACAAAAATCAAACATTGCCTTTCACCTGTGGTTCAACAGAAAAAACAAAAGAATGAAACTGGCCTGGACAAAAATGACGGTACCTTAACTTAATGATTTGTTATATACCCTTTTGAGGCAAACTCTGTAATCAAACGATTTCTGTAACTGTCAGTAAGACTTCTGTACTGGTTAGCTGGTACTTTGACCCACTTCACATGAGCAAACTGTTCTTGTTGTCTCAGGTTTGAAGGATGCCTTCTCCAGACGGCATCTTTCAGCTCCTTTCACACATGTTCAGTAGGACTGAGATCTGGGCTCACAGAAGACCATTTCAGAACAGTCCAATGTTTTGTTCTTAGCCATTCTTGGGTGTTTTTAGCTGTGTGTTTTGGGCCATTATCCTGTTGGAAGACCCATGACCTTCGACCAAGACCAAGCTTTCTGACACTAGGTAACACATTTTGTTCCAAAATACCTTGATAGTTTTGAAATTTTGTTGTACCTTGCACAGATTTAAGACACTCTGTGCCAGATGCAGCAAAACAGCCCAAGAAGAAAACCAAGTCTCCTCCATGTTTCACAGTAGGGACAGTGTTCCTTTCTTGGTGTGTTTCATTTTTGTGTCTGTGAACATAGAGCTGATGTGTCTTGCCAAAGAGCTCCAGTTTTGTCTCATCTGTCCAAAGGACATTCTCCCAGAAGCTTTGGGGCTCATCAATCTGCATTGTGACAAATTCCAATCTCACTTTTTATGATTTACCCTCAACAGTGGTGTCCTCACATGAAGTCCACTTTGGCTCAAATAGTGATGGATGGTGTGATCTGACACTCATGTACTTTGCCCTTCAAGTTCACATTTCATTTCTTTAGAGGTTGTTCTTGGCTCTTTGATGACAAATTGAAGAGATGGATCATACGAATGGAACCAGTTTTCCTCATTCAGCCATGTCCAGGGAGTTTGTCTTCAGTCCTGTGGACCTTAAACTTGTGAAGAACATGTGTAACTGTAATCACAGGAACATCAAACTGCTTGAAGATGGTCTTGTTGTCTTTATCTTTAACCTGCTCTTCTCTCATTTTCTTTCTAGTCTCCTGACACAGTTCGTCTTCTCTTTCTCTGGTCCATGTTCAGTGTTGTGTCCATCATGTCTCCAAACAGCACAATGAAACATGTCCCCTTTAAACAGGCAGACTGACCGAGGACAAGCATGAGGACGCCTGTGATGCAGATTAGAGACACTCCTAAGTTTAGTATGTCCCTGTTGTCCAGTTATGTACAATCTTTTCTAGGGGTACCACCATTTTTGTCCAGGCCAGTTTCTTTAGTTTGTTTTTTAAATAATTTTGTTAAACAACAATTCAAAAGCAGTGTCTGCTTTTCACTGGTTATTTTTCAGGAAAATTTTATTTATTATTGCTTTTCTTTATTTCAAGTTATTTCAGTGACCAGTTGATTTTTCTTTCATTACCAGAGGGGTACCAACAATTTTGACCACGTCTGTATATGATATATCTGATATATTCTTTATATCTTTTCTACTCCCATGTGGTTTTATATGTGTGTAATCCCTCAGTGGTGCAGGTAGGTTCCATAGTGGTCCATGTGTGTACACTAGACTATGTGCTCTTACACTTGTTCTGATACAGCTCAACATCATTCTAAAAGACATTCAGGAAAGGTTCATTTCTGTCCTGTGAATGTGGCTTTGGTGTGGAGTAAAAACAAATGAGTGTTCTTACCAAAGTTGGATAAGTAGTTGCTCGGAGGATAGTGGAAGTTGATAGGAGCTGCAATAGGAGTGATTCCTGTAAATAAATAAAAAAAAATTATTTTTTTTTAAAGTCAGTGGAGCATGTGGCATTAGCAGAACAGTTCAGTCACATGTGCAGTGAGACAAACCTGGAGTTTTGCATTTCTTCTCAGGTTCTTGCTGCTTGTCATGATTTTCTACAAACACAAGCAAAGTTCAAGGCCTGTTTACTCTCCCCACAGTAGCAGTAACACCACAAACACCACACACACTGACAGATGGACAACAGTGTGTTGAAAATGAGCTTTTACAAAACTAACAGCATCTGGAATCAACGACTTATTGAAACCGTTGCCTCTGCACCGTGCAGCATTAGAACACTGAGTGGACAGGAGCACTGAGCTCCTGCCAGAATGACAGGGAGCAGCACTTAAAACACATTCTATTAGAATTATACCAAACTACAGTGATTTCAGCAGAAATTTAAAACAGCCTCTGAAAAAGTAGGCTATACTATAACCACTGTAATGAAACCCCTGTAAAAGTCATGTCTGGTGTCGGTATCGACGAGTACTCAAAATGAAGCACTCATAAGCATGGAGTAGGTTTGAGCGGTGCAGTGTAGGGTATCGTGCAGTACTCACCCACAGAGACCAGGGGGCAGGGCAGGATCACCCCCCACGCATCAGCCATGTGATGCAGCAATAACCAGCTGATCCTGCGGTGGGCAATGGCGTTCCAGTGCACTCCGTCTTTGGCGCGGTGCTGCTGGGAGAAGCGGAACTGGAAGTGCAGGTCCAGGACGTCCAGACCGTAACCGTCTGCTAAAGTCCCACTAAAGAAGTTAGCCTCAATCACATCTAAGCGCAGGCGAGGCATTAGGTGCTCAATCTGGGACAATAGAGGGGGACAGGACAGGGGGACAAAGAGATTTGGTTTATTCACAATTATTGAGACCTCACAACACTAAAATCCTCCCTCCACGTCCACTTCTTTCTACAGTCTTTGCTCTCAGCTGAGCTCTGAGCGGCGAGGAGCTCACAATAAAGCAACATATGAACTGTTGTGCACATGAAGCCCAGCTTTAATCAAGTGTTACTTAAGTGAGCGCAGGGCCAGCTCTAACTATACACCTTATTCCACCCAGCCCATTTTTGTCTCTAAAACCTCCTAAACATCACTTTCTTAGGGTGGCACTTCTGGTTTAATGTGGATCCCACTCATGTCAGTGGAGGATTTAGGAAACATTTTGCATCTTAAAAATGACAAAGTCGGTAAAATGATCATGTGCATTTGCGTAAATTTTCATGTGCACCAACAAATCACACTGAACTTATTTCCTGTCAAGCTCAGCCCCATGCAAAACAATACAACCGGAATGATGATGGCCGTGCCCAAAGCAACTTCTGGAATAAGGTGGATAGACAGAGTGGACATTGCTCACCCAATCAACCTACTATCCAATATGAATACACATATACCTCTAATCTGCCCACCCCTGTTGGGCAGACTAGAAATGGTCCTGTGCACTGCTTTTGTTTAGCAGCAGGCGAACATGGCTAAGTGGTGCTGGTGATTCTGTGCCTGTGTGCATTATGATTTGCGGTAGTTAACAAACAAATGTAGCTCCTAGTAGAGCAGGTTCAGAACCTTCAAAATGGTACAGCATGTGTGGCCATGGTAAAGTAAGCCCCTCAAATATTCATATTAATATCAAATATTCCAGGCCAAAAGAAGGCTGTACTCTAATGACATTATATATAAAAGATAATGAAATAATGATAACAGCCAAATATTGGATAATTCAGAATGAAATAATGGTTTGCATTTACCACTGTAATAAAACCCCTGTAAAAAATAATGTCTGGTCAATGGACCAGTCCTTTGTATCGGCAAGTAGTCAAAATGAAGTACTCTTACTGAAAACAAAAATATGTGATATCAGTACATCCCTAATTGGTATAGGCCAATATCGGTTATTGCTCCACAGCAGTAGGCCAAATATCAGTTATCAGCTCAAAAATTCCACATTGGACCATCCCTAAAAAGATGATACCAATCCAAAACCACTCCTGATTATGGATGAATCCCTGTGGTATGATATAGTGACTCACCTCTGTCACCAGAAAGCCTCCTTTGATCTTCTCTGACAGGGGCATGGTCACGTTCCAGATGACCAGGCTCTCCACGGGCAGCACACCATTCAGTTCATCAAAGAACTGGTGCAGATTCTTCTTATAGTCCTCTTGCCACTCACGGTTATACCTGGAAGAGGAACACAAGCCATCACTGTTCCACATGGAGATGTCCCACAAACACAGAGCTCCCGACTGCTGTGTGAATGTTAGTGTGATAAGTGTAAGTGAACAGAGCACACACCTGGAGATGTCCCACACACAGGAATTGATGATGACGACGTCGGGCTTGGGTCCCCGGCGGAAATCGTTGAGGATACTCTTCATGTAGGGGGAGTAGACTCGAGTGACAAAGTAGAAGCGGATCAGGTGGTGGTCCGACTTGTACTGGCGCACCTCCCTGTATGCTGTCCCATTGTGTAAAGAGCTGAGGCAGCCCCCCTCCACCAGGCAGTCCTGCTCGAAGTTCATCTCCCCCTGCACACAACAACATTGTTAAGCCCTTTATTTTTTGTTTATTTAAAGTCTCTGCGAATGCAAACCCTCCTCCTGGAAAAGCTCACACTGTTCAAGTGCAGCATGTGCACAGCTTACACTTCAACAGATGTGCCCATGCAAAAACATTCTGGTATTAATAGTAATGAGGAGACATGGCTGACACACCCTGTTTCTCCCTTGTTCCTTGGTAAATGAAAATAAAAATGACCAACACCACCATAATTTCACACTTCTAAGTGACAAACATAATCTGGTATAGCTGTGCAAAGTACATTCATATAGTTTTGTAGTTATTAATCAGATAATGACTGGTTGTTGACAGTAAAAGAAATTGTATTTTGATTATCATAATCATATATATCATAATCATATCTGGTCTGTACAGATTAAAACAGACACCAAAACAGTTTTATAACAAAGACAGTGGCAGAAAAAAAACAGTCTTTATTTGGTTAAACTTTTCAATATACAACAATCACAATCGCTTGATTTTGACATTTGTAGTTGACGAGTTAGTGAAAAATGGTTTATTAGTCAATTAGTCAATTGTACTTCTATTGTACTTGTGCTATGGTTGTATTATACATCTATTGCTAATGTACACTAGGCCATTATCAACCAAATAAAAGTTAAAATCTGGACACTGAGGCTTCTAGACAGAATATATTTATGAATAAATACTGTTATTGAAAGTTGTTTATTTTTTGATGTCTTCATTTAATAATGCCACAGTCTTTGTAATCAAAGGGCTTTTCAAATTTGTGCTCTACAGTCTGGACAGTCCAGATAACCACTGTTATTATCAAAATAAGATTATGGTTATTTTTTCTTCTTGATTTAATTAGTCAATGAATCCTTGGAGCTCTAGCTGCAGCCCTACTTTTCCCCTAGAATCAAGCATCCCTTCGTCTACTGCTTAGATTTTACACACTATAGTTTTCTGTCTGGCTTCCTGCATCTCACTGTGGACATGTTTAAAGCCTCACCTTACTGCGTAGCTGACGCACGCTCAGGTACTTGTCCGTCTGCAGCAGCAGGACCAGGTCTTTATAGACAGCACGCTGGACTGAGGATGAGAAGAACCACAGTTACCAGAGGAGAATGAGATAAGAGCCAGAAAATCAGATACTAATTAACACACAAATTAGTATTGAAACTAGAGAAGTGTCAGTCATAGGACGGAAATGAACCTTTCCTGAATAGCTTTAGAATGATATACCTATCTACCTGGACCACTATTGGACACAGGTGTAAGACCACATGGGAATATAAAAAAAGTATTATGAAAAATAGCTGTATTGCATATTGACTCACTATTAAACACTATTGGTGAGTGTGGAGATACTCACTGGAGTCGCCCAGGACCACCACAAACTTATTGTGCAGCAGTTTGACCACCTGCTCGTGACTCACGCTCTTCACTGCCTCCTTCAGGACATCAAACAAAATAACATGGTTATTTTTAAGAATACATTTTTAAAGGTATTTAAGGTGGGCAATGAAACCCCTGTAGTTTAATGCCATTCTGTGGAACATTCTAGGCAAAGCAATAACATCTCCATGGAGACAAGCAGGTGGTGCACCCTCCACCAGAAAAGTTTGGACACAATGAGACTTTAACTTATTGTACAAACCACATTTGTACAAAATCAACATGCATTTTAAACCTTGAAAGTTCCACCAGTAACTCCATTTTGTTTTCTACTGGACTAAATATGTCTTTAAAATCAACGAGAAGAAAATCTGGAGCTTGCCGAGCAACTATTTTCTCAACAAAAAAATTAAAAAAATCTCATTTAAAATCATTCACAAAATGTGCCCTGAAGAACACAGTAAATTTAAAACAGACTCTGACGTAAAAAGCTCATTTTGTGCTGACAATACTGAAACTCAACCCCATTTATCCCGAACTGATCAGTTACGATGACTTTATGTAGTAGAGGAAAAAGTTAAATAACCACTAAATACTATTCAACAAATCAAAGGATGGCTACTTTGAGGATTTTATATACATTTTTTTTTTTTCTTTTCCTTGCTGCTAATTCGACATATCTTACGTCTTATATTTGATGTCTTCCGTTAAAAATAAGTAAATAAGTAAATCATAAGTAAAAGAAAACCAGTCAAATGTTTGACTGGTAGTGTATTTTTATAGAACTATTGCGCGAGTATTCTATTGAAAGTACTGCGTGAACAGCAGCTGAGTACATATCTGATGTGCGATCTTTCAATAATAAAAAAAAAAAAAGTTACACCAACGTAATCTTCTCTCACTCTTTTAGCTAACATGAGTAATTCAATTTCGACAGAACTTACCATGACCACGTCCACCAGGTTAGCCAGGGACAAGTTTCTATCTTATTTCTTTAAAAATACAGCCAAATATCTCTCTTTCTCCAAACTGTTCCGCTCAGGAGCCGCCAGCGCGGTTAAAAGTCTCCAAACACGTGCTCGGACTCGGGATCAGCTCCGGGATCAGCTCTTCGTAGCGGCGGTAAATTTGTTGATTTGTGAAAAAAGTGTTTTTAAAATTCAAAAGCGTGCGCGTGCGCGTGCGCGTGCGGCTGTACAGTCCGTTAGCTGCAGGTGTGCACCACGAGCGCGTTCAGGCCGCATTGGAACTTTCGCGAGTTGATCACGTTTTAACCGTTTGATTTATCGATTTAAATTATATTTCTTCTGTTTAGAGTGTGGACAAATTTAAGAGAGTTTATTAAAGGCTAAAACAATTCTGAATGCAATTTCAGAGTCGTTATGAAAATAGAAACGTCTCAAAAACTTACAGACAGATAGTAAGTAAATGTAGCATATTCGGATATTTATTTTTCTTGGTTGAAATGATAATATATTTTATTTCTGCTTCAAGTTGATAGTCCCTACTCAGAATGTATTTGTTTTATGTACGCATGTATTTAATTGTATTTATTTATTTTTCATAGAATTGTATTATATCTATACACTAAAGGCTGTTTTGTTTGTTTGTTTAAAATGCTATCCAGGAAATTATCTATTTTACACAAATTCTAGTGTTTCCTTAAATTCTTATAGGTCTTATGTATGTGTATGCTTGTATGTGTGTGTATTAATTGTATTTATTTTTTAATAAAATTAATAACAATAGTGCTAGATTATTTATTTATTCTTGCATCTACAATCATAAATCTACAGTTTTTCTTCTCATATTAGGACTTCTTTACTTTCATTGACTAAATAGACCCTTTTCACAAAGGCCAGAAGTGCCGCCATTTTGGGTAAACGTCATATATGTCATTGCTTTTTTATGACAAAATATCTGTGGAAATGTCTCGTGTATTTTCCAACCAGCTTCATAAATCTGCCCCATCACCAAATCTTCAACCAACAAGGTCCACAAAGGACATATTCTGCCTATGAAGAATGTGTCTACAACTATCAAGGTAAGAAGGATGAAAACCTAAAGGCTAATAACTTCCTCCTAGAAATCTCCAGTATTGGTCCTCTGAGCCGGATTATTTCACCCAGGTATCAAAATGGACACCAGAAGAACGGCAGCAGACAGAGGAGCAACAGGATGGTCGCAACAGCTACTATGCCCCAGGTCAGGCTTCCACATTCCCTCATGCCTTATACTGATGACAGCACAAGAGCCAGCGTTCCCCAGCTGCAGTCACTCTGATGAGACCACAGCTGCGGGATTTCAGGTTGGGGACATTCCTTTGCACAACTCTAACAACACAGCACAGAGCAGGCAGTCCCAATATGGCAGGTCAACAGTCTGCCAGTGCTCTGCAGCCCATAGTAAAAATGTCCATCTGCAGATACCACAGAGACTATCTCTGAGGGCAGACTACACAGCCCGTGACCCCACTGAAACATGACCATCAGCTTTGTGGCCAGCCATCTCTCTGCTCAATTCTCAAGAGAAACTGCTCAAAGCTATCCACCTGCTGTTTCATGAGGTGGCTGCCATCCCACCCTCAACTTTAAATGAACCTCTCAAGGCCACCAAGACCTTCCTGTTTCACAAGATGAGAGCAGGCACCACAGAGAGGTATTTTGCACCAGAACCTGTGAAGGTTGGACAGTGCAGAAAGAAGAAATGGGGTATAATCTTCAAGGGTCAATGTGCATACCCCAATCCTGCAGCACCAAACAACCTCTTCATGGGGCGGCAGGAATCTTCCTCACTTTAAGACCACAACATGGTCATCACAATCATCGAACCCCAACTTCCAAGAGCCCATAGGCCGGGGGGAAGGTCCACTCCTCAGGGTGTTTTTTGCTACCTTTTTTTCCACTATTATTTCCTGTTATCTTATATCTTGGGCCATCACGAGTTGATAGGGACCAACCCCAACTCGGCCCCGTTTGGTCTCAGGGCCCAAAAAACACACTTTTTAAGAAAAGCTATTTGCGAAATTATGTAACTGTAAATATTAAGGTACTGTAACTGCATACATGGTCAAATAACCCTAAGATTTTGCATGGTGTATCCTGACACATGGAGGAAACTAGCAGAAAATAGTTTGGGGCTTGCTGCCTTTCTACTGTCAAATATCACCCTCAACATATCCTAAAAGACCAAAAAATGTCTGTCCGCCTGACAAATTGTCATCAAAAGTGATCATTTTCAAGCATTTATTGCATTTATCACTGCCTAAAATGGACATAAAATCTTCCCATGTTCATAAGCTTCAATTTAAGCCCAAGACGACCTTTGGATCTAGAGGGAAACAGCTGTTATGACCAAACTTCTTCACTGTACCTCAAATCGGCAGGAGGCAGAACTTTCAGGCATTACCATTACTTGTGGGATTAAGCAGGATTTTTTTCATAGAAACAATATTTTAAAAGAGCTGGCTTATGTACTGCTGTACTATATGAAGTGAATTACATTAAAAGTGAATAATTTTAATTACATTAATAGTAAATAATATTAAAACTCAGGGCCAGAGTGTAAGATAAAACTATGGTAACCAGGTTACACACACAAACACACACAACCCACACACAACCAACCAACATCCTGACCCTTCATGCAACATCCCATCAGAAGTTATTTTCCAAAGACAACTGAGAGAAGTTGATCCATTTTTCTAGTTATAAGAAGAGATTGAATCTATTGGGAGATTGGTGTCCTATTCTAGGTGTCCACGACTTCTAGACTGAACATTAACTATTGTCAGATTGTTAGAAAACAACCAACCCAATGGAGCTACTGGTGAGAGTAGAGGTGGGAGACAAAGTATGGTGTGTGTGTGCGTGTGCGTGGGCATGTGGACCTGGCTCCCGGCCTACCAGTGGTCCGTCGTAAAGGTGATCCAGAGCGACGTCAGCTGTGTCCGGTCAGCTGAGATCCTGATTGGCAAAAAGACTTTCTTGCGGCCGGTCGCCTTCTGTAACTGCCTGCCATTCCTGACCATCCCACTCCATGGACAATTTGAACCTTGGGGAATTTAGCTAGTTTACATAATAGCTGTACTATTATGGGAGCAGCTGTTGCAAATTCCCTAATAGAACTGTTTAGAACATTTTAGTCAGGCCTTTGTAGGCAGCTCAGGGGTCCTTAGCGCCATAGTAACCAGTGTTGGGAAGGTTACTTTTAAAATGTATTCCCTTACAGATTACAGATTACATACCCCAGAATGTAGTTTGTAACGTAATCCATTAATTTACTTAACATGAGTAACGTAATCTGAATACTTTGGATTACTTGATTTGCTGTAGAGAAGCAAAGACTCAGATATCGTAACATAAGAAGTTTTGTCTGATAAAAGACAATAAAAAGCCCAGACTTTACTGAACCAAATTAAAAATATTATTGATAGAAGAGGAGGAGACACGTCCGCGCAGCATCGTTTAGTCCTGTTAAATCCTGTTTTAATCTTGTTTTAGTCCTGGTTTAGATCTAGTTTAGTCCTGGTTTAGACCTGGTTTAGTCCTTGTTTAGACCTGGTTTTAGACCTGGTTTAGACCTGGTTTAGATCTAGTTTAGTCCTGGTTTAGATCTAGTTTAGACCTGGTTTTAGACCTGGTTTAGATCTAGTTTAGTCCTGGTTTAGATCTGGTTTAGACCTATTTTAGTCCTGGGTTTAGTCCTGGTTTAGTCCTGGTTTTAGACCTGTTTAGACCTGGTTTAGCTCTAGTTTAGACCTGGTCTTAGTCCTGATTTAGTCCTGGTTTAGTCCTGATTTAGACCTGGTTTTAGACCTGGTTTAGATCTAGTTTAGTCCTGGTTTAGATCTAGTTTAGTCCTGGTTTAGATCTGGTTTAGATCTAGTTTAGTCCTGATTTTAGTCCTGGTTTAGACCTGGTTTTAGACCTGTTTAGACCTGGTTTAGATCTAGTTTAAACCTGGTTTAGTCCTGGTTTTGCCCAAAATGTGAAAACAGGAAAATACCGCTGTGTAATCCATTTATTTCAACAAAGTAACTGTAATCCAATTACCACTCACTGAAACAGTAACTGTAACCAAATACAATTACTCATAATTTGTACTCTGATTACATAACTCCGGTACATGTAATCTGTTACTCCCCAACACTGATAGTAACACTGTCACTAGTACCATGGTAACACTGTTCTTCTGGCCTAACTGGTTTCTTTGGTTTGCCCTGTTTGTGTCTGCGTCTTTGACAGATATATCAGCTAAAAAGATTGAAGCCAGGACATTAAAGCTCCAAAAATACGTTCCTGCTGTGGATGAAGTGTCCCAGTTCACATTTACAGTCCTCCTAGAAATCTCCAATAAAAGTAGTGATACAAAATGTGATTCAACTGTTGTAGGACTATTTGTGCATTACGTAAAATGAACGCCCTGCAGCTAGCCTTCATATACACATCGGAGCAGCTCCTGTCCACTCTGGAGCGGGGCCAGTGGAGTGTGAAAGCAGCTGAGAAAAACTGGTAAAACAAAAAAAAATGATTTCATACTTTCAGAAATTAAATAAAATAGAAATGAAGTGTGTGAAACTGTGCTGTAAAGTTATATTAAAGGTTGTATAGAGGATTTTCCAAGGAATGAGAAATCCAGCGACTTTGTCCTTTTTCAAATGTTGCGCATGCGTGAACCCCCCCCCCCACCAGCTCCCTACGTAGAAACGCCTCCTCCCTCCTCCTCCTTACGCCACAAACAGGTTTGTTTCTAGAAAACAAGTACTCATCGCTGCAAATGACTTGTAAACAACTAACTACAGTGTTGGTTAGGCAAGGCGGAGAAGTGAGGAGTGGGGGGAGCGGGTGCGCGGACATTTCGTGCGCAGAAAAGAAGTGAGGATCAGGGGGAAGAGCGGAGCGGGGAGAGAGGAGAGGAGAGGGGAGCGGTGCGCGGAGATTCCGTGCACAGAGAAGTGATGAGCAGGGAGAAGAGCAAAACGGGGAGCGGGGAGAGGAGCAGTAAGGGGTGCGCGGAGATTCAGTGCGAATGAAGCTACTACTACAAGACGCAGCAGCAAGCGGACTCTTTCTTTGCATTGAAAATTACGTTTTCAGACATAGGATATCGCATTCATGTCTTGAAAAACGTTTGTGTAGCTCTTGGAAATAAAGTACGTTTTCATAATAAGCAGAAGTTTCC